TTCAGTCCAGAGCACGGTTTAGAAATATTACATAATAAACAGAAAGTTCTGCTGGGAAAAATTCAGTCAGTGGTGGTTTCTTTACTCTTCTGTATCAGCATAACCAACCTAGAGTTTGCTACAAGTCTTTCTTATAAATTCTGTGCTTCTCTTAATACAATCTGCATCTGTTCTATGAAAATTTATCATCATATGCTGCAAAGCGTTCTTTATGTAGACTCAGAATACTGAGTTCTTTTTTTCTTCTTCCTTTTCTCATAGCTGCTCTTGTTCTTCCAAGTTTTTCCCTAGCATTTTTTTGCCTAATGAGTTGTGAAATCTAATCAATTGCAATAATTAAAACATACTGTGTGTGGAATGATGCACGGCTTTAATTACACAACAAAGTCCCAGACAAATAAAAGCTTGAGATTCTTAACATTAGAAGAAACTAAACTACTTTACTTTGCTGTAATTTATTTATCCCACAAAGAACAGACTCATGCTCATCGATTATTTTTATAAATCACTTAAGGTTCCATGCTTGCTGTAGTGCATATTTTATTGAAAGAGCTGGGAGATTTCAAGCTTGTGTGTTAGCAGCACATGAATGAATGGCTGGAACAAACACATAGATGCTTGTTTTCAATAAAACACCCTGGGTGGCAACTGGGAACAGGAAAGTTTTGTGTCCAAGGCCTACAAAGTACATGGAGTTTTAGAAATGTCTCATAGTACAAGAGAGGTGCTATTCACTAACTCACCTCTTTTCTAGGATCTTTTGTATATTGGTAGACATTTATGACAGACTGAAATCCCAGTGTTTCCTAATTAAAATCAGTTTGATGATAGTTGGGCAGATACACTATTACATTTTTTTTTTTTTTTAAGAACATTGCACGTCAGTAATTGGGTCCTGGTATTATACAGCTTTTTCCAATCCTGTTACTTGCATTCTAATTCTGGCCCCAAAGAGGCTCCATCAGCTTGACAGAAACTGCAAGCTCAACTATTCAGACCTGTGCCCTGTTCATTTGTTCTGTAAATTCTGAAAGTATAATTATGCTATTGAGTATTTTAGAGAAGTCAAGCCTGCATTAGCAATTTCACAGTAATTTAGGTGAAGTGGATAACCCAGTACACCTTATTTAAGTTTCCAACTTTAATACAGAAATCTGATACAGGCAACTTTCACAGTTTGAAAGGTAATTATTGCTCTCTTATAGTGTTGTCTTTTGTCTGCCTAAGTCCTAGCTACAAATTTCATTAATCAGCCCTGCCTACATATGCACTGTTATTGCCCTCATTCTTTACTATAATTGGCTTCTTTTGCTGATGTTGGTAACAGAAGTTTTAAAGGAATGTATAGCCCACCTAAATAGGATAGACTAACCTAAGGATGTTTTCTGAACGGACTGTACAAAGGATGAAGACGTATGGTCCATAACTCATTTGGCAGGAGAAATGAATGGATCTTATTTCTCCAATAATTAGAATTACCAAAAAAAAAAAAAAAAAAAAAAAGAAAGAAAAAGAAGACAGAAGCAGCACTGGTAGGAAAAAATTCAAATAAATATGTTTCAATACTTCAGAACATAAGGTGATATCTGTATACCTGTTCTGTACTGTTAGTAGCTGACAAAGGCCAAAGATAGTACATAAGTACAACAAAATGCCAAATACACAATACAAATGTACAAGTACAAGTACAAATGACAAATACCATGAGCAATTTCTGTTTGTGCTTAGAGAGCTGAATATCCACTTGGCAACTGATAGATGAAACAAGTTTATTGCTATTTTTCTCAAAGCTATAGTGAGGTGGCCTTTCTATCTCTAGAGCCTTTATCATCACTGTGACCATAACTGATACTCTCTGCATACACTCTTCACACTTGCATTCTTCTTAGCTTCACTTCACACTTGGGTGTTCCAGCAATTTTGTCAGACCTAATGCATACTTGGAACATCACCAAATGGATATAACATTTCTGAGAAATGAAAGTAAATGCTTTTATGAATGAGCTTAAACTGATCTTTAAAGCAGAAAACAAATTATTTTAGTATTTCTAATAAAAATGTGGATTTAATTAGGACTTCCAACCAAAACAATATATTTTTTCCAAGTGTTATAATAATTTTTTATTATTTTAACACTTTGCTCACTGTCTCAAAGTTGGTCATATTGCTTAGAGTATAAATAAATAAACTTTCTGGTAAAGCCATGAGATTCACTGATATTCATTTTTTTTCTCATAATATTAGTTCTGTAAAAGACAATGACCAGCTATTCCAGGCAAAGTGGAAGACTGTTCCAGGCAAAGTGGAAGGCTGTGAGGTACAGAGATGCCTGGACTTTATCAAAATGTCTTTTTTCCATCGTAGGGCAATTTATACAGAATGCCTGCTGGAGACAGATGGCAGGGAAAGGGGGGAAAAGGATTGTAGCAGGACTGATTGAGAGGGCTTTAAATTAGGTTTGAAACTAGGTTTGAAGGGGGAAGCGAATAGAGATGAGCCTGGGGGAAGCATGCCAGTGCTGGGGGTGAAATCAACAGCCCACCTGAAATGCCTGTGCACGGCTGAACACAGCTGGGGTAGCAAGCAGGAGGAGCTGGAAGCCATCGTGCAGCAGGAGAGCTGTGATGTAGTTGCCACCACAGAAACATGGTGGGAACACTCACGAGAATGGAGAGTGGCAATGGATGGTTATAAGCTCTTCAGAAGGAGCAGATGAAGAAGGAGAGTTCTGGAGTGGGTATGTTAGGAAGTGTTTCAACTGTGTAGAGCTCAAGAACAGACAATTGCAAGTCGGCCAATGTGACATACATGTTCAAGAAGGGTCAGAAGAGTGATCAAGGGAACTACAGGCCTCTCAGCCTGACCTCGATGCTGGGGAAGGCTGTGGGACAGATTATCTTAATCACACACCACGAACAGGACAATCAGGAGATCAGGCCCAGCCACAATGGGTTTAGGAAATGCAGGTCCTGTCTGACCAACCTGATCTTTTTTTATGACCAGGACACCTGCCTAGTGGATGAGGGAAAGGCTGTGGATGCTGTCTACCTGGACTTTAGTAAAGTGTTTGATACTGTCTCCTACAGCATTCTCCAAAACTGGCAGCCCACAGCTTGGACAGGAGCACTCTTCACTAGGTTCAGGACTGGCTGGATGGCTGGGTCCAGGGAGTGGTGCAAGGTGCTGGATCCAGCTGGCATCTGGTTACTAGTGGGGCTTCCCAAAGCTCAGTATTGAGGCCAGTCCTGTTTAATAATTTTGTTCATGATCTGTATGAGGGGATTGAGTGCAGCCTCAGTTAGTTTGCAGACAGCACCATGTTGGGCAGGTGTGTTGATCTGCTGTTGGAGGGTAGGAGGGCTCTGCAAAGGGATGTGAACAACCTGAATCAATGGGCCAAGAGCAGCTGTATGAGGTTCAACAAGACAAAGTGCTGGGTCCTGCACTTTGGTCACATCAACCCCATGTAGAGCTACAGACTTGGGAAAGAGTGGCTGGCAAGTTGACCAGTGGAAAAAAAACTGGGAGTGCTACTCAGCATCTGGCTGAACAAGAGCCAGCAGTGTGCCCTGGTGGCCAAGACCACCAATGGCATCCTGGCTTTTATCAGGAATAGTGTGACCAGCAGGATCAGGGCAGCAATTAATCATCCCCCTGTACTTGGCAGTGGTGAGGCCGCACCTCAAGTCCTGCATTTAGGTCTAGGTCCCTCACTACAATAAGGACTTTTAGGTGCTGGAGTGTGTCCAGAGAAGGGCTTCAAAGGAGGTCTGGAGGGTCTGGAGCACAGAGCAGCTCACAAGTGATACGATGAGCAGCTGAGGGAGCTGGAGTTGTTTCGCCTGGAAAAAAAAGGAGACTCAGGAGAGACAGCTCTCTACAACTGCCTGAAAGGAGGCTGTAGCCATGTGGAGATCAGCCTGTTCTCCCAGGCAACCAGTGGCATGATGAAAGGATTTGGCCTCAAGCTGTGCCAAGGAAGGTTCAGGTTGAACATCAGGAAGTATTTCTTCACTCAAAGGATTGTCAGGCATTTTTATGGCTGCCTAAGGAGTCAGCAAGTCTCAAAGTATTCAAGAAAGTGGTATGGTTTAGTTGGCATGGTGGTGTTCAGTCAAACACTGGATTTGCGGGTTTTGGAGATCTCTTCCAACATTAATGTTTCTATGATTCTGTCATTCTGCGATTCTAAGATTCTGTGAAAGTGTTGTGACGTAATATGTTATAAAACCTATCTCCTTAGACAGAAAGCAAAACTTTGTTTCTTGGAAGCCTTTGTCTACTTACATGTTTTAATAATTATGCAAAACTCAGTTCACCCTCATACTACTTACTTTTTTAAATCTTGCTCTCAACCTAATTCAGGACCAATAACTTCAATTCTTGCAACAGCCGAAATTTGTTCAGACATGAAAATTCAGCAGGACTAGTCTCCTGAATAGTGCTTCATGTTTAGTTTTCTTAACTTTTCAGCTCAAAAATTTATGCCTGTCTAGGAAAGTGTACACTATGTAGTACTGAATTACCATCTTACACATGGTATTCCCCAATCAGTTATATACACTATGTAAAGTTTTACATAATTACAATTAATACAGAAAATTCAAAATATTCTGCACATTAGCAGAAACTATATATCTTCCACTTGGTGACTTGCACTAATAAACATCACCTCCTATTGTAATTTAAAATTATGACCAGTCGTGTGACCAGTCATGGCCAGCTTTCTGAAATGAATTGGCTTCCTGCAGGCAGTAAAGCAATCAGGTTTTTGACCATGTCTAAGATGAGCCTAATGTTTTGTCTGTGCAAAATTCAAAACAATAAAACAAAATAATGAATGCAGCAGTGAAAACAGCTTCGACCATTCTGTGTTTATTTGACACATATGCATTTGAAAGGATTTAATCAGACACACGTGCATTTGAAAGGATTTAATCAAACCTTGACAAGTACACTTGTATCAGTCTAACCAAAACATTTTTTATTTTGTTTTACAGATTTTGGCCATTGTGTCCATTCTGTTCATCGTCCTGTCCACTATTGCTTTGTCTCTTAACACACTGCCAGAACTTCAAGAAATAGATGAATTTGGGCAGCCAAATGACAACCCTCAGCTAGCACATGTTGAAGCTGTGTGCATTGCTTGGTTTACCATGGAGTATCTTTTGCGTTTTCTGTCTTCACCAAATAAGTGGAAGTTCTTCAAAGGCCCATTAAATGTCATTGACTTGCTGGCTATCTTGCCGTACTATGTCACCATTTTCCTCACAGAGTCCAATAAAAGTGTCCTGCAGTTCCAAAATGTCAGACGTGTGGTTCAGATATTTCGAATTATGAGGATCCTAAGGATTCTTAAGCTCGCCAGACATTCAACAGGCCTTCAATCTTTAGGCTTTACACTCAGGCGTAGTTACAATGAATTGGGCTTGTTGATATTATTTTTAGCCATGGGAATAATGATATTTTCAAGTCTTGTATTCTTTGCTGAAAAGGATGAGGATGCTACAAAATTTACAAGTATTCCTGCATCATTCTGGTGGGCAACAATCACTATGACTACTGTAGGATATGGTGACATTTATCCTAAGACCTTATTAGGTAAAATAGTTGGAGGACTTTGCTGTATTGCTGGAGTGCTGGTCATAGCCCTGCCTATACCAATTATTGTGAACAATTTCTCAGAATTTTATAAGGAGCAGAAAAGACAGGAGAAGGCAATTAAGAGGAGAGAAGCACTTGAGCGAGCTAAAAGAAATGGCAGTATTGTCTCCATGAATTTGAAAGATGCCTTTGCTCGCAGTATGGAAATGATAGATGTAGCAGTAGATTCAGGAAAGCTTGGAGAACCACTCAGTCCAAAGGAGACACCTGACAACAGCCACCTGTCCCCAAGCAGGTGGAAATGGGCCAGAAGGACAATGTCTGAAACAAGCTCAAACAAATCTTATGAAAACAAGTACCAAGAAGTTAGTCAACAAGACTCCCATGAGCAATTAAACAATGCTGCAGCATCCTCCAGCCCACAGCACCTGAGTGCTCAAAAACTGGAAATGCTGTATAATGAAATTACTAAAACCCAATCTCAGCCTAATCTTAATGCTGGTTACCAAGACCAGTCAGCAAAGCCACCCAGTTATGAAGAAGAAATAGAAATGGAAGAAGTTATAGGTCAGAGAGATCCACTGCCAACGGGGCCTGCGGACATCGTAATGGACATGAGAAGCACATCCAGTATCGACAGTTTTGCCAGTTGTGCAACTGACTTCACGGAAACAGAGAGGTCTCCACTCTCTCTGTTTCCTGGCTCTCACTTGCAAATGAGATTTCCAACTGATGCTGTTAACCTGGAAGAAAACCAAAGAGCAAGAAGTTCTCAGTTTATACCATTTGCAAAAGACAGAGGATTTTCTTCAACTGATGTCACCTTTGACTACAATCCAATCAACAGAGCTGTTATCAGTGATGGCAGTGGGTTCCAAACTGTTTCACATGGTCATTTTGACTCTGCCATGGAAAGCCCCAAAAGCTCCCTGAAAGGTAGCAACCCATTAAAATCTAGATCCCTTAAAGTTAATTTTAAAGACAATAGCGGTGGTGCTCCACAAACTCCACCGAGCACCGCAAGGCCACTGCCAGTGACAGCAGGAGCAGACTTCACACAGGCCACTGCTCAGCACATCAGCACCATTCTCCTAGAAGAAAACTCCCCCCAAGGTGAACGGCCTGTACTTGGTGCTGATGCACCTGCACTTTGTCAAGGACCTGCTAAAAAATCATCCCCTCTCTTTCCCAAGCAAAAAATTTTCACTTTCCCTTCTAAAGAGAGGAGGAGCTTCACTGAAATAGACACTGGAGAAGAAGAATTTATGGAGTTACATGGTATGAAACATGAGAAAAAACAGGATATCAAGACAAATTGCTGTGGGGATAAACACAGTGATGGCAACAATTTAACAGGGGAGCCACAGGTCAGCTCTTCACCCAAAAGCATGAGCCACAACTGTACTCAAGACATTTACCATGCTGTGGGTGAGGTAAAGCCAGACAGTAACCAAGAAGGCCACAAAATGGAAAACCATTTATTTGCTCCAGAAATTCATTCAAGTCCAGGAGAAACTGGTTATTGTCCTACACGTGAAACTAGCATGTGACTAGTTACAGAAGCAATAAAAATGTCTTTTCTTAAAACACATTTAGTAATGCCTATGAACTAAAACATGGAAAGCCTCAACAAAAGTGCATAAAATGTTATTTTTGCATGGCATGAAGAGTTGTTTAGTTTAAATACTGTTTAATTAAAAAAAAAAAAAAGACTGCTTTTGTAACAAACTGAAAAAAATTAGGGAAAAAATTACTCAAGAATGGTGAATACAATAAAGAGAGCTTTATTAGGAGTCAGTGGTCTGCAACATCTGACATTTTTGATCCTTTCACTTATGATTGTAGACAGGTATTGAACTCTTTTTTTCCCCTCAGTTACAATGAATTTTAGAATTTGCACATGAAAGGATGAAATGTCAATGCATGCATTTATAAGGATGTGAAATAAGGTGCTTTGAGCTTGCAAAATGCATATACTTGTAAATAGTTTGGGGTTGGGGGAAAGCTACTGTTAACAAGGGTTTATGGAAAAAGCATTTCCTGGGACACAGGTACTTCCTTCACAGCGTGCTGTCTGGAGGTTTTGTACAGACTTATGTTGCAAAATTGCAACTTCTACTTAAAGCATCTCACATATCTTGCTTTCTGTTAAAAAGCTCATTAGTATATCTGTTAATTAAGGACTACATTATTTTAGTTTATCTGTGCTATAAATCATGATGGTTTTTTATTTTATTTGCAGAACTTCAGTTATTGCATTTGTCAGTTTAATTAATGATCCTGTGAGGGAAAGCAAAGATTTAATGACCAGAACTTGAAGCATTTGATATTTTTATAACAAATTGCCAACATTTCCTAACTAAGAAAAAAAGTTCCACTTTAAAATTTAAAATCATAGTTATTTCTGTGGCAATAAATAGTGCCAAATGGCTATTCAGATATATCCAAAAATTTTCAAACTCATAGAATATACCTTGGTATTTAAAAAAATATTTTCCACATTTTTATTTTTCCTTTGATTTAATGCTATTTGCTTCTTTGCTTGATCTTCAATCTTTTACCTTTTGTTCTCCATGCAGTGCACATACTTCAGTAATGGCAATGTTGTTGAAGCCGTTAAGGTGTAAGGACATAAAAGATAAGGTTTGTAGGGGAAAGTGATACCTTTTGTTATCATAAATCATGTAGCTGGAGAAAAAAAGGCTTTGTGCATGTTATTTGCCTCAGGTCTTCCATACCCCAAAGCTTGTTTGTGTTTTTCAGTTCAATCATTTGGACTGACAGTAGATATCACTTGACTCACCAACTTTGCCTCAACCCATCCTTCCATAGCTGTTCTGAAATGGAGTACAGGATTTCCACTATACTTAAATAAAGGAAAATGTCAATCATTCCACTGACAACTGCCAAAGCATTCCACTGATTTCTCCAGCTTTGTAAAAGAAAGATACTGAACCAAAGCCTTCATTACAAAGTACTCATCTAACCACTGTCTCAAAAAAGCTATTTTTATTTTATCCAGAATTCATAGCTTCTTATGATAAAAATTATTTTTTAAAATCCTTTTAGAGTGCTTTAATTCCCTAAATCATAAAAAGTTTATTCAGTTCATGAATTCTAATCATAAGCAAATGTATGCAGTTACACAGACATGTCCTAAAAAATGGTCCTTTCTGTTTGTTTGGGGTTTTTTTCTTTTTCTTTTTTTTTTTGATAAGGAAGACTTAAAAGTACTTTAGACCAATCAATGCATGTTTTGGAACAGCAGGCTTATACTTACCATAGTGGAGCTAGGTTAATTTTTACCTGTGTCTTTTTCTGTCACTTGAATATGTAACAACCAAGCACCTAGTGCATGTGGTGTAAAGGAACAACCATTTTTGTTACAACATGGCCCTTTGCTTAAATGGCTGGGCCAATGCCACAGACCTCACTCAAGCCTGTCACATAGAAAAGAGGGAAGTTTGAAGAGCCCCTGGTGGCTGGGCCAAACATTGAGCACAGCACAATCACTTAGATGGGTTTTTTAAAACAAGTTTTCTATATTTCCATCAGTTTTCTTATTTCTGTAACAAGACAATATTGAGGTATCTCTTCAGTCATTTGAGTTACTGAGAATATAATGTCTTTTTCTTTTCAAACAATGTCTGGTCATTAATTCTCAAAATAAAAAAGTTTTTTTTGTCTTTAACTGCAGTTAATTTCAACTTGTTGCTGCGTTCAGTCTTATGTATTTATATTGTATTCTGCGTAACACTTTTCAATCATGTTGTGTCTCACTGTCCCCAAACTTAGCTCTTTAATATTTTATAGTCATTAATCTTCTATCTTTTTTTTTTTTTTTTTAGTTTCTAGATATTTTCGGTGACTAAAACTAAATGCCAGTCAATTTTTATATGCCTGAAGTGTTGGTTTGTATTTTCTATGTGCAGTTTTATGAAATCACATGGGTGTGTTTGATCTGCCTTTACATCCTAGTGGACTATTGAAGTCCAGATTAAGACCAAATGGGACCTGGTTCCATGCTCTAGATCCACAGACAATTCCCATTCAAGACAATGATGTTGTTCTGGCAAGACTGAGGTCTGTCATGTTCCTTCTGTGTGCTTTTTCTCCCAGGTGACCCTTAGGCTTTGGAAAAGCCCCTTAGACCTGTGCTACTTGATGGAAAGGGAGGAGTCCAGCCATACAGAACCTATTGCAGGAACTGAGATAAATATCATGCAAACCTAATTCTGGCCTATTAAAATCACTAGAAATTTAAAATTAGTAAAGTCAAGGCCTCAATTCTTGCAAAAATGAATTTCCCCTGAAACCAATGTGAGTCTGGTGGAAGAAGGGATTGATTGAAATCTAAATGAGAAGAATGATAGTCTCTGCCTCTTGAAGAAAATCAACAGAAGCTTTAACTATATGAATCAGATTAAAGACCAGGCCCTTATTTGCTGCTGTATTTTAAATGTTTTCAGAGAAGCACATTTATTTTGAAAGAAACGCAATTCACTTTGTTAACAGATGCTTTATTTTTTTTAAATACTGGAAGCAAAATTATTAAGCTTTAGAAATGCTTTTGGTATAATTTTGGTATCTACTTTTGACTATGTTGAAAACTATTTCCAGAAGCATAGATTTAGACGTGGTTTTTCCAGTCTTGACTGCATATAAAGGATCCACCTCTGAATATCTAACTTGTATAATTTCTGATTAAAACATCTCCTTGAGCAGTTGCAGGACTGGATCTAGCTTTCTGTCCAGTACAGCAGGTGTAAGAAGTGCAGGCTGGGATCACGTCATTCATCATGGGTTGATATGCAGCAAATTATGCAAAATTACACAAGTATATTTTTTTATTTTCTAAAACTTAGAAGCCATTTTGGACTTATTACCCATTCACTACAGTAAGAGGAGAATGTGTCTGAGTTCTGGGGTCAGTCTCTAATGCCAGACGTGCAACTTAAGGAGTCTTAGGAAGAAGTGACTCTTTTGTGCACCTGAAAGGGGTCTGACTCCTCGCATCACTGGAAAATGAAGAATGTTCAGGAAGACAGCTTTGCAATTGATCTATTTTTTATATTTTTTACTAACTGCAGAATCATGAATCAAAGTTTTAATTCCTTTTCAATGATGAAACCAAATGCACATATTTTAAAAATGTTCACAGAGTAATTAGAAGAGTTTTTGAGTAATAGTCACATTAATCCAAATCTGGGTGGGGAGTAGGGGGTAGGGGGGAATAATATCTTGCACAAACTGCAAAGGAAGTTCCTATAGGAAAGCTGTTTACAGGGGAAGTATGTAATGTAAAGAATGTAACAAGGTGTAGGAAGTTTTTGCACTACCGAATTTATATAAAATACACTTTTTTAAATGAAAACACAAAAGGCCTTTTAATGCTACATTGTATAGACTATAGAAACCTCTGTGCTATTGCAGCAATTTAATGCACTGTGTCCTCACTTTACAATTGGTCTCAAAATTCAAACATTAGTGATGTTAGAGAGGTGATATCTGATCTAACACTAGAGCAATGGACATGAAGAGCCTTTTAGCACACTATTATGTAACTCAAAATGTGTACAGACAGTTTTTGCCTACAGCATTTATACATCTAAATGACAATTGGCTTAATGAGTCATTTCATAACAGGTAATACCGGTCAATGTATTTGTATTCCTTGAAAAACAATGAGTTATTTTAAAAGCACACCTCTTCCCTTCCATGTTGACTGAGCTTCTGTTTCTTTCAAGGTTTACGTTCAAGTTATTTAATTAATTGCTTCAACCTCATCTCTAAACCACAGTCCAATAAAAAAGACAGTTGTCTTCTTGAAGCTCTATTGCACATAGTCAAACTGGTAGAAATGTCCAGGGTTTTACTGATTGGCTTTTTGATTTGAATAATGTTTTAATCACTTGGATAGCAAATATATATTTTGATCATAAAAACATATATTAGAAGCAAAATAATGCAGTACGCCTTTTTTTTTTTCTAAGTAGCCAGCTGAGATCAAGCAAGAAATTCAAAAACAACAAAGGGGGAAACAAGGCAGAAAACTGTAAGTAAACAAGGCATGTTTTAGTGTACTATATTAAAAGAGACATAATAAAACATATGTAAAAGAATCCTTGTTCACACTAAATAAGGTAAAAAAGCCAGTAGCAAAAGATTTAATTCCGCTCTTCCATTGTAATTTTTAACATAGAACTAACAGGTTCACTGATGCTATTACCCACTCACCTGCCAAAAGAATATCTGATCCGTAATCATTTTTCAGAAGACTTTCCTGAAAAATAAGATATTATGTGTTGGGATTTTTATTGATCTTTGGATCTCTTCCCATTTCCCTCCCAATATCAATCTTCTCTTCTTCTTGGGAGTGGTCAGAAGACAACCCACCCAACAAGATGATAGGAGTGTCTTAATTGTCAGGAAAGTGTTTTGGTAGTGTGGTGAAAATGGCCAGATGCTGCATTTGAACCAAGGAACAAGAACTGAGTGTCACTTCTCCCCGTTTTCTAGTTGTAAAGTGCTCTGAATTCTCCAGTGTCCCCAAAGCATACCCATTCTTCATGGAAAAGCTTTCGGTGCTCTTGCAAGAACTTTTTTAAAAGCAGTTGACTGGTAAATGCTGTTAAGAGAGCTATCGATCTAAGTTTGAATATTTGTCTTTTGTCCAACCTGGTTTTATTAGTGGTGCTCAGCTTTAACTCCAGCTGAAATGCTTTCTGAAACAGATCAGGTGTTCGGGAGTCAAACCTTTTGCAGGTCCTTTGTCAGTTTCCTTAACAAAGCAAGGTTAGGTAAATGGTAGGCAAAAATGAAAGAAAAAATTTTGTTTGCATTGTGTGATGGTTTCTTGTTCAGTGATCATACACCATGGGACATCTGCAAGTGGGGTACATGTATTTGTATTTATTTTGTTCCAGGTTTAAACAGTTTTTCTTTTAAATGCTGACTTACGATATTTAGGAAGTATTACCCCTTAGTAAAATGGAAATTTCTTCCAAAACAACAGTGATACTTTCTAATTCTATAATATTATTGTTGATATTTAGGGTTTTATGACACCTAACGCAGATTCTGATGAATACCACTGTGGAACAAGGAAGTAGCACACAAATATTACTACTCTTTTTACTCAAAAGTAATTAAAAAATATGGTATTAGCTAATGTTTAATCAAAAAATAATTATACCTATGAACTAAAGAGAATGGCGACCTGTCGTTACCTCAGACATTGACTGTAGTCCTGTGATTAACATAAACCATGAATCTAATAGCAGTCTGTATAATTCATTTTATTAGGGTAATTTTTTAACTCAAATAACTATTTAAATACATATTTAGCATCAGCAGGAACAATGTACACTTCTAAATCTGGAAGTCTATGGATACGTTTACACTGGCATCTTAGAGAAAACCAGGAGCAATCTCTTGACATCTCAGCTACCCCCACTTCTCATGCTTTGGTTCAATAACCGAACAATCCTGCACTGTAGGGAGAGCATCCTTCCCAACACTGCACCATGCAAATTGGACTACTTTTAGGTGAAGTTGAACCAGAAATCTTCTTCCATGATGGCACCAGCTATGCTGCAGGCAGGACAAAGCATTCAGGCCCTGATACCAGATGACAGCAAGTCCAAAAATTGTACCCCAATAATGTATACTGTCAGTACAAACGGTTGCCTTCAACAAATCTCCTGGTATTGTACAACTTGCTAATGTAGACGTAGATGGCTACTGTCTTCTAGAGCCCATGTAGCTCTTGGCTAAATCACTTAATCAAGCAAATGTTGCCATTTTCAGCAGTGGTATTACATAAAAAAGCAATATGTTGCCTAAGATTAAATTGTTCCCAGTGTGTTCCCCAAGTTAACCCAAGTAAAATCTTTAAACAAAAAATTATTGATAACCATTGGATAGTTGTGTTTCATAGTTTGGACCAAACTCTATATACTGCATATTTCTACAGTGAATTTACTCTAAAGTTGGTGTTACATATGATGAAGACAGTACAGACAGCACTAGACTTACTCCAAAATCAGTGGAATGATTAAACTGATTGCAAGGAGCTTTATTTCACTTAACAGTAACCCTTACTTTATACTAGTATGAATAAAAGCAAATTGCTGTGCATTGATGGAGGATCAGAAGCCCAGCTTGACTATTTTGTGCCGATTTGCCATGTCGAGATATCTTCCTATTTGGATCACCAGCTGAAATTTATTTAAATTGAGGAACTAGTAGGGTTTTGGTTGTGTGCTTTGTTGCTCTGATGTCTGGGATGTACCTTGTACAGTAATGCAAGGAACAAAAAAGCCTGTTCCTTATCTTACTTATTTTAATCATTTCAAGGTGGAGTACATAAATCTTGTAGTGGTATTTTTGCTCTAAGTTTTACTCAGATAGCATCTCTCTGTGAAGGTTCAGAATACAAAACATTTATGCCTGTCCTTGAAGTCCTTAAGCAGAATGCCAGTGGGAATTCTGCCTGTATAAAACTGAAGGATGGAGCAATATATTATAGTGTTACGCAAAACAGTTTCTAACACGTTACTAAATACATTAAAAAAGAAATTTAAAAAAAACTGTTGGGGACAATCATGAATACTTCTGCTAGGATGCAGAGTTCTGGATTCATATGTCTAAATTATCAGAGTTCTGCAGAGTTTTACTTGTGCAACTCTTTCAAAAATCAAAGGAGCCATGCTGATAAACTGAAACATGGAGGGATTAGTGTACAAAGAAGCTGAGCATTGAAAACATAGCCTACTGCTTTAAGATCACTGTAAATATCAAATTAAATATGTACTGATTCATGTTTCTATGTTATTACTGTGTTAGTTTCATAGATACAGTAGCATGACTATTATTAGTTTTATGGAGTTTAATGAACTTTCTTTGTATTCCTCTGTGAATGCTCTGAATGCTGCAAACAAAAAAAGCACAACAGTATTTTTTCAAGTTCTCTTGGGGCAATAGCAGTGTCTTCACTATTGTTCAGTTTTACAGATTTAGCAACATTTCATCATACATTGCTCTGTTAATAACGTATCTTTCTTTAAAAGTACTGTCACTAGGAGATAAAAGCATATGTGATAAGTCTTGTCTAATCTCATTCATCTGCCTTTACAAAATGCCCCAGATATTTTGTGGGAGAATATGCTGCTTTTGCTTCATGCATTGTTTGTATTTGGGGTGGGGCAGGGGAATAATAGGGCATTTTGCAATGGTAATTGCATCAAACATGCTTTTTTCATTATTATTGTATTTGTTAGAAACATTTTGATTTAGTTTCTTTCTGTAGATAAAACTTTGACAATAGCTTTATTTTTTCAACTAACCATTTGATTTCATTAGACTAATAACTTCTCACATTTAGTGGTATTCGTATCAATGTTTCCATATCAGCTGCATTTTAACTTCATAAAAAAGGAAATGTGATTATTATTTTTGTCATACTAGATTTTGCTGATCAACTAAGTATCCCTGCACCAATCTACATATTAATATGCATGTTGTAGTCTGTACAATTGTTCAACATCAAAATATCTGTTTAATTTATGTCAAATGTCTTTAAAATAAATGCATTGTTCTCCATTTCAGTCTGATAGAATAAGCAGGATAGTAAATAAATGTGTAAATGAATCATCTGTGTCTCATTTCAGTTCTCTTCATGAAACCACTTTACATTGAACATTGCATATATACCAAAACAATAATCCATAGTGTCTTTACTTAACAAAATAATACAGGAATCTCTGACAGAAAATGTGTACAGAAATAAATCACTTGGCTATGCAAATAAAGACAGCAGAATCCATGCCTTTTTTTTTTTTTTTTTTTTTTTTTTTTTTTTTTTGTAAAAGAAAATGAAATGTAATGATTCTAAGCCTTTTTCTTCCCTCTCTGTTCAGAATTACTGGTAATTACTACTCACACGGTCATAGATACAAAACCTCAAATGATTTTACAAGGATGAGTAAGAAGTGTTGCCTGCAGGATAGAAAGAAGCATGGAAAGATTTAGCATCCTTTTTTTGGCTAGTCAAACCTAGGTACCTCAGCCTAATATTCAGGTGTAGTGGATAAACCAATCTCTTGTCCACCATAAAACTGTAAGTGAAAAATTAGGTGATAGTGGAAATTATTTAACTCCTTTAACACGAGTCATGAAAATAACAGATTTTTTTTTTACAGGCAAAGTTTTGCTGCAAATCCACCAGAGAGAAAATCTGCTATTCAGAAAATCAGGAATATAATGCCCTCCCCTAAAAATCAGAAAGCTATTTTTTAATGTCAACATCTGAACAGTACTGCAGTAAAGCAAAATGGAAGTCCAAGTCATCCCTTTGGTGAGAGCATAGAGACACTATTTTCACAACCTCTCTGTGCTATGCATCTCTTAACACACCATTCACTGTACTGCAGAACTTCTACCTTTCAGCTTTTAATCTAAGGGCTCCCTCTATGAATGTGCAGCACTTTACATAAATCTAAATTTGTTCCATCTTTCTATTCTGCCTCCAACACATTCCCAACTTCCTTTTTCCTAAAAAAAAAAAAAAAAAAAAAAAAAAGAGCAACAACAACAAAAAAAAACCCCAAATCTTTGTTATTGCTTGTCCAGATCTCTTCTTCTTGGCATTTGTGTGAGTAATTGCATTTTAAGGAAAGGATTTGGGGGGGTTATATAGTATTCAATAACCAAGCACCCCACACACCTACTTTATGGTACCCAGGAGTATTTTCAAAACTGCAGTTCTACATGAACATCACAGCTGCCACATGGTTCCATCTGCACCAAGACCTGGGCCTCTTCAGATTTTCGTTGTGCAGAAAGGAGACTAAATCACATAGAAGAAAAAAAGTGGGAGCATTTTCCAAAAAGCAAATTCAAGGCACTAAGATACACTACTGTAGTTCCTAGCTCAACATCTCTTCAATCATACCATTAATTTAGAAAATATTTCTCTTCTAACCATTTCATCTTTTCCCATGTTCTCCTCTCCATCTATTTTTTCCTGTTGAGCACACTTCAAAAAAAAAAAAGTGAAGAACCCCAGCATCTCATCCCAGACCCAAAGCAGTCTAATAGGTATTCCTACTGCAAAACATTCACTGAGTTATGTTGTCATTCACTGGTATTGAAACTACTAATGAAACTATTGCTTTCCTTTGCAAAATAAATCTTTTTTTATTATTATTTGTTATGTTATGTTGTAGTTTTCAAATGGCAATTTGCCATTATTCTTCAAAATATCTTCCACAACAGTTTGTTTCTACTCGATGGCAAGAGGCAAGCTGTTGGCTGTCAAGTATCAGTACATTATTCATATCCATGCTATGAAAGCTAAAAAAGCTTCTTTGGGTATCCATTTTTGCAATTTAGTGCATTCCTAATGGAAAAGAGCTTAAAGTGAACTTTAGTGCAGTTAGACCCTGGACAATCCACAGTTAAAAGAGCCATTATGAATGCTACAACCATAGGAAGTATTCCTGACTGAGGCATTCAATGATCAAAAACACAGATCCATAAATAAGTAGAATTCATTTCCTCAACCACTCAAAAAGCTATCTGTATTTACCACTACTTCCTGTTTAATCTCTTACTGGTTTTGATTTATTAGTTTTATTTTAATATACACAGAGGTTGGCATAATTGTACCATTCTTAGAAAGAAACTGGGGTTTCAGTTCTTCAATCCTTTAGCAGGATGGTAACAGAACTATCTTATACCTGTGACTCATCTTCCAGTGGCAAGTCTGCTGACCACTTGAGCACTTGCATATAAATATACATACACACACACACTAAACACCCACACAAGCACAGAGCACATATGGAATGTGGCACTGTCTTAGCACCAGAAGCTGCAAACCAAAACCCTACAATACTTTGCCTTTGTGCTATGATAGAGCCTCAATCTAGAGAGCTTTCTCAGTTCACCAAGGCACAGCAGAAAGATCTCACAGTTCTCATGACTCTAATTCACACTCGAAACAAAATAAGTGGACACCATTTTCCGTTCACACAGAAGAATAGAAGTGTTAACACCTGCACATCACTGGGATTGTTACAAGGCTTATATACCTGGCAGTAAATTAAAACATACATAGCCTGGAATAATTTCATTCTAGTATGAACACTAAGCATCTCCAAAATTTCATTCTAGTATGAACAGTTACATCTCCAAAAGAAGAAGTCTCTTTTATCAGCAACAATACAATGAGTGGTTTATTATCAGCCACTTCTGCTTGCCTGACCACCCTTTTCATCAGAAGCAAATAAGCAAGTCCTGCTTAATTACTTCAAGCAGCTTTCACATTGCAAGATGGGAGAAAAGCTGAACTTTTCTATTAAATATTTCAAAACTAAGTCAAAAACTACTCACATTTATGGGGGAGGACAAAATAGGTTTCCCAGAAATCAAAAGAAATAAAGACATTAGTACATACAGAAAGAAAATCAATTTTATAGTGTAAAAAATGTAACAAAATAGTAGCTACTGTTTTTCATGTCTGAGATCTCATTCTCACCCACATAAAATGAAAAAAGAAGAAACAGATTTAAATAGGCTCCACTGCATAAATATTCCACTACCTCTGCTTTCTGTGAGTACAGTTTCCCTTCAGTGTTTCTCCTCAGTTAACAATGAAATTGATTTTTGTATAATCAGCGTGTTATGTTTCCTTGGTATTTCTAGTCATGACTTCTGCAGAATTAAAACTCAGGGAGTGTCAGCAACGTATCCAGAGCTCAGAATGAATAAAATTGTAATTCCAGGAGTGTACTGATCTTGCAAATTAATTTGACATTCATTGTGATGAGTGATCAAGGCAAGCTACTTTGCTGTTGTGCATGCATTCAGAGGTATTGTCTGTCACAATAGCTATTTACACAGCGTTAGAAATCTAATGAAATCTACCAACTTCCCATTTTTAAACAACAGTAAATTATTTCCTCTTCATTTGGAAGCGTAGGTTGAAAACAGCACCAGATAGTTTCACCCACTCAAATGAATCTCAGATTTTCTGATATTCACTACAACTGATCTTCTCTGATACTTTACAGATATACAATCAGGGGTGTTTCTCTTTAATATTTTCACAGTATTTAACATTGTTCCAAGTTCATTCTCTTTCTTTCAGGTTGCTAAACACATTCAATGCTCAGCTAATCAGTAGAGCCAGAGAATCGTATTTCCAAGACCTTATTTTCACAGTGGGAACAGTTGCAAAGCTGCTAGTTCCTACGGTCTGGCATATTTTGCAAAATGAACAAACACATAAATAAATTATTACTTCCAAACAAGCAAAGTTTCTGAGAGGTCCCCACTGATCGTTTCATAGAAATATAGTTGCCTAAACTGCAATTGTGTATCTCAGGTATAATTCCACAGAAAATGGTGCCAAATGTCAGTCATTACTCAGTATACCAGAGATGTCAGTATTTGGTCAGTAACTTAGGGATTCTTTCCATGTGTTTTTATGAGGAAATCTTCATTTACATAAGAGATAATCAGTAAATATAATTTAAACTCATTAAAGAATGGAAACACTACAGATTTGTTCCATTAACTTAAATGCATTGAGTGATTAGAGGGCTGGAGCACTTCTGTGAAGACAAGCTGGGATAGTGGGCCTTTCAGCCTGAAGAAGAGAAAGCTCAAAGCACCTTATAGAGGACACCAAGTACCTAAAGGTGTCTACCAGAGAGCTGGAGAGGAATTTTTCCCAAGGGCATATAGTGATAGGACAATGGGGAACAGTGGTAAACTGAAGGAGGGCAGGTGTAGATTAAACATCAGGAAGAAATTCTTTACTCTGAGTGCCATGAGGCACTGGAACAGGTTGGCCAGAGAAGCTGTGGACTCCTCATCCCTGAAATTGCTCAAGACCGAGGTGGATGGGGCCTTGAGCAACCTGGCCTAGTTGATGGTGCTGCTACAAATGACAGGGGGTTACAATTAGATGTCCTTTAAGGTGCCTTCTAATCCAAGGATTAAATTATTTTAGCCAAGGAGAATTCCATGTAACTTCATCAAGAGTTTTGCATAAGGGCTGTAAGAGTATGTCACTGGTTAAAACAAGAGACATCAAGTAAAGACAAAATGTGAGAAGTACTCGCTTCTGGTAGCAAGCAAGGTGGACCACAGTCAGTGCTACACAGCATTCCAACTTACCTTTCCTCTTCCTAGGGGAAGTCCCAGACACTAGGGCAACACAATGGCTTGACATTCAGTGATCTGAATGTGCCAGTGAACATGGCTGGTGATAATGTAGCAACTAGATTGTCATTAACTTAAGTCTCATATGTAGTTCTTCAGCTGTGAGAGCATAAAAGACCTATCAGTTCCTTTTCCATGTATGAATTAATCTCAGCAAAGGGGAGGAGACCCTGCTGAGTTTATAATATTGAATACTGTAATACGTTTTTCTCTAAAACTGCATTACATTAACTGAGAATAATGCAGCCTTTATGCTTTCATACATACATTAGCTTAATAATCCATTAAAGTGTCTTGTATTTAAAGCATACACAAAGATCTATAGTTTGAGTTTCAGAAGCCATCCAAATATCTTACAAGTGCCAGGAGTACTCTCAACAGGAGAAATTTAGCCTTTCATTTATTTTAAATTGCTCTTTCATTTTATTCTATAAAATGCATTTATTTTCAAGAAGGCAGTTGAAATCTTTAATACTGAATTAAGAAATCTAAGTTAGAAAAAGCTAAATGGGAACATATATGTTGGATAATACCCTGCTCCTAATCAGGTCCCAGGAAATTAGACTATTTTTCTTTTACTTTCTCTAGTCAATTAATTAGAAAATTCTTCCCTTCCCACTGATCAGAGTTCCATAAGGAAATCTGTCCCCCTTGGAAGAAACAATATCTACAAAGGGGCCGTGTGGTTCGGCAGAAACCTCCTGATCTCCCAAGGAGGCTGCTGAAATACAGAAATGTTGTGTTTAGACCTCACCATGGGAATTCCCCAGCACTCACATGACCTGTGAATGTGACAAGAGAGTCATCGATTCAGCCTTGCCACTTTTGTAAAGTCCAAATTGTTTGAAACCACAGCAGATGCATGCCCAGAGGATCAAGGAAAGACAAAGTATGGTTTCAGAGCTACAACTATTTTCTATTGCAGACCAACCTCCCCATTACTTTTTTTACCTTCTCAGAAGTTTACTGCATCTAATTGCTTCTGTATTATTGGCTCAGGAACAACACCCATAAATCTGTGAAATGTCTACATGGTATTATCTTTGCATAATCTTGGCACACTTGTAACTAAAATCCTTCACCAAATGGAAACTTACTGCCAGTAATTTCTAGGCAGATGTGATTTTCCAAAATCTGTTATTTTACTTGGTATTCTACCAGAAATCTGGGCTGTCCTGTATTTCCATATATGATTAATAATTTCAATAATATTAAAACTTTGAGTTCTGTTACTTTGGTTTTTCCATCATTCTGTATCTCTTAACTATTGCCATTGACTAATATGAAAAGGTAATTACAGCAGAGCAGAATTTTAGCTGATGCTAAAATATACAGATATATCAAGAATATTAAACAATTGCCTTCCACTTTGTTCCAAAGTAACTGTATATAATACTATATAACCTCTATTATAACTAAATGTATGTTTCATAGTTGTGAGAATTTTAATATAACTCATTCTAAAGTCTACTGGTTCAGTTTGTGTGATGGCTCAGCACTGCTAATAAGATTTAAAAAAAAAAGAACTTGTGCTGTCACACTTAGGAGGAATTACAGTTTGTGAGCCAAGAAGTAGCTCTGTCATGCAACAAAAGACTGTAATTCAACACACCTGAAAAAGCTCAGCAGCTTTGAAAGTGTGCCTTTTAGGCAGAAAAGACACGTAAGACCAGCAGGATTTCTTGCCGCAGAAAGGGGTTTATTAGCAGCACTTCCCATCTTCCTGAGCTGCTAGTAATGTTCTCCCTATTATATTTCAAATGGGTAACATGGCTATGTATAAAATTCTTAGGTGGTATCATTCCATTGGAAAAGTGGATTTTCAGACAAAAGTAAACAAAACAGCATATTTAATCAGGCCACTTATATTGACAATGACTTTTGCTAACTTCACTAGTTTATACATTTATCCTATGAGACTAATGAGCAAAAAAGCTACCTGTACATGTTTCATCTGGTAATGCACTAGCAAACAAAGTTGGTGTATCTAGTGAATAAATTGGAAACTTTTCCAGGGAATGTATCACTGCAGCTGCCAAATCAGAAGCTCGCCCAGATCCTGGCTCTTCAATTAGTAAGAACCGTGGCCTGTAAGATGTTGGTTGGTCATGAGGATTTCTACAGAAATAAGTAGAAGGCAAGTTTAAAAATGAGTGATGAATAGGAAAACAGACATTAAAGTTTTTTCCTATGCACTTTGTTTTGTACATACTCTCCCTGTTCCACAAAATAATAAGCTGGTCCGTGAACAGGAAAACTACCAAAGCCTACTTTCTCACAAACTGGTACTCTGCTTCTGCTAGAAATCCTGCCAGCCCCCAGTACATCTGCTACTCTTTTGGCTGGGTTAAGTAACAGCTCTTACATCCCACAGCGGGACTGTGCAGCCAAATACCCACACAACAGTTCAGTTTGATGGGTCAGGGCAGTGTACTCAGAACAAAACTAACCAGCTCAACCTTCATACTTCTGTATTTCAAAATTCTCATCATCAGAAGAGGAAAGAGAATTACTGCTGAGGACTCCATATCTCTGTCTGCAAAGATTCAAACAAGTACAAAATAAAAATGCACTCTATGTAATACCAAAATTTAAGTGAACACTATCTAAGCATTTACTTTGAAACCGACAAAGTTTTCAGATCACTGGACATTTAAACTGATTTCAAAGTACATTATGTGATTTTCCTTGTGACAGCAATACTTAATTTTTCTTACGGAGGTAAAATGCATCACTAGTGTGCAAAGAAATTCTTTAGTCGAGTTACTCTTTTTGTCCAGTCTCTCTCTGTCAGACACACAAATCGAGTTTCACTTAGCATCATGCAGCCACTCTGTGAAACATCAACATTTTAAACTTATTTAAAAACTTTACTTCAAAACCCCTTCCTTCCATAATTGTCTGTTTTCAATGATACTAAACAAAGTTTTCCAGTCTAGCAAGGGAATGCACTCTCCGTGCTCTGTTTAAATTATCTGACACCCCTTTGTAGATACTATTGCAATTCATAAATTAGATTTTCATTTAATATTTTTCTGGTTTAAGGATAGTTTCATACAGAAACATGAACTGATTCCAAAAGACATCAGAATCAGGGTTTGAGCAATTTTTAAAAAAATCCATTAAAACTTCCACGCAGGCTCTCCCTCTAACTAAATTGTCTTTGGTTTTAAGAAAATAACTTGCATCTCTCAAGATTAAACAGTCTAAGGTTTTCACAGGGAGATTCTGGCTTCAGTTACAGAACAAATTAATTTCAGTTACACAATCTTGGCCACAACCCTCATCATCACCTTATCAATGACCATAAATACTGCATTTTCAAATAAGTTCTGATGGCTAATAAAAAGAATAGCCGACCACTGCCAGTGTTTGTTTTCTTTATACTCTCAGACTACTACAGTAATAATAATAATAATAATCTTATTTGCTACTAGTCCAAAACCCCTCAAAAGCATTATTGCATCATGTGATAGCACTATTGAGACAGAAAAACTGCCACTTAACCATACACAAACCTTTTGTTCCCTTTGCATGAAGACGAAGATTGGACTGAAGAATCTGTCTCACATCTTCTAGGTTCTGTTGAAAGCAAAGAATTTAGAACAATGTCACAAACAAGTTTAAGATAAAGTGGGATACTCAAAGAGGCATAAAACAGGATGTGTATCACCCATCTCTAAGTTCAGGGGAAGTTTCAATCAATGCATAGTAGAAGTGAAAAAACACACATCTGATTTTTAACGAGAACTGTAAAACACTTGAGTAAGAATATAAAGTCTCTTTAATTACTATTCTTTCAAGGCTAGATAGGTCATATTTTTTACTGGAAAACAATAAGGATCCCAAAAATTAAAAATGCACAGGATACAAACATTTAAGAAAAGGTACTGGCAGAATGAAGGTAAGAAATTTAAAGTTGAGTGTGTGCATGTATTTCCATTTAAAAAATCTTGTTTCCATGCAAGAAACTAGCTCCTAAGAAAAACTGTGCCTAAAACCTACTTTCAAATGTATCTTTATATCACTCAACAAAGCAAAGCTTTTTTCCTTTTGTTTCACTTACTTATGATGAAATTACTGCACACAACATTAAACTCTTTAAGTACTGCTGCAAATAATGATATATTCAAAATGCCCTACACTACAGGTATTCCCGCCTGTCCACAGCCTTTTAGCATGTATTTTTTCTGGAAAAACACCAGGGTTTGGGACTTTTCTGTCTGAAAATCCATAAGCTCTTTACCAGTACTGCCCTAGAATCTGTGGCCTTGGCTTCTAATGTCAAGAGCAACACAGATTTTTTTTTTAATAGATGAAAAATACCTAGTAGTTAAGTCCATCTCAATTGCTTAAGAAAAAGCTTTTGGCTAGGGTATAGTCAAGGAAATTTAGAACAGAAGTAGCTTAGAATGCTACCTGGATTGTCCGCTGTTTCTTCACCAGTTGTTTCCATATCTAGACTTTTCTAATTAAAAGAAACAGGAAAAATCACACAAACAAGCAGAAAACCTGTGGGAATATCTGGTGCCTTTATAGTATCAATTTCAAGGCACTCCATACATGCAAAAGATTAAATTAACACAGAGCAAGAGGGAATAGAAACACCACTATGGAACCCAGGATTAATAAAAGGATTTCTACTCTAAAATAAAGTTTAGTCGATCTGAAACTTAAACACTTGGCCAGATACAAAACCGACTGTATCAATTAGTCCCAGGTTAATTATCCAAGAGTGTGGTAAAACCCAGGACAAAGCAATTCTAGCAGAAAAAAAAAAAAATCACACTGGCATTTGAGAGATGATTTAGAAAGTACTATGGTAAATTCTGGTTGAAACAAACCACAGAGGAATCTGACCAAAAACAACTATGAAATCAGGCTGTGGATATGTTTAGAAAACAAAGTTCCTGGCATTCAAGAGGATGGTGGACTAACTTCATTTAATAGAGCAAAACCAAGACAAGGAAATATTATTGATCAGTGTCTATAATTTCAACATGAGTTCTGCCTGGGATAGGGGACTACTTGAGATCACAGGCAAAGCTGGCACAAGAACAAACACAGATAAAGCAGGTATCAGTAAATTCCCTTTTTAGTAAGATTTGAATGAAACCAAAGCCCTGAGACAGCTATTTGTAAAAAGATGGGGATTTTATTTATCCATTAAAAAATCACAAGGCAATTCAGCAAGCATAGTATATTACATGTTTCATCATATCACTGCTCTTTCATGTCTTCTGAAGAAGGTATTTCCTCCACCTTAGAACATAGATGTGGCATGACTGTAATAGTAAGATGCTAAATTATAATTGGAGAACATGAACAAAATATTAGTTTAGACTACACTAAGCTTTGCAAAAAGTTGTTTTCAGCTAAATTAAAAGTAAATAATTTCTTTACATGAAATACCATTCATATAGAAAAATAGTAAATTATTTTGTTATCTACTTCTGGGTAGTGGAATACCCACAGCCTCCCTTTCTTAGCTGTCTTCTCCATGTCACCCCATTTTTTGCAAGACTGCCTCTGCAGTACTAAGATATAAAGTTGACATGTAAGAGCAAGGACAGCTGAGTACAGAAAAACCCCACTGAAAACAACACAAGTAGTTAGCACACTATTTTAATATAGTGCACACATGGCAAGAGTCATCGACACTGCACCAAGTTTTTCAACACTACTTAAAAATTATGTCAAATGTTCCATTTTTTATAGAGGTTTAAAAACAAGTATTTGAGGATTTGCCAACATACATCGTTTTCAGTTAATTTCCCCTTCTTGCTGAACACAGTACAAAAAAATTCCACTTAGTAGGAAAAAGAAAGAATTCTGAAGATCATATGAAGATAACAAAAAGAAATTATGGCAGTTTCTCATAGCACTTAAGTTGCTCAGCACAATAGCATTAAGTGATTTTTAGCTCAGTCATCCTCAGACAACAGGTTGCTTAGTCTTTTCTTAACTAGAATTAAGGTCTCATGCTGATTTGCCATGAATATATATGCTAGAAAAAATAATATCTCCCTGCTAAAATACTTTGAAAATCTTTCAGAAAACAGTGTCAATTTGGGCAAAGAGAATCAAGTCACAGACAGGCTAGAACTGCTTCACTTTGCCTGTGTTGAACTTTCTGCCATTTCTTAACTCAACAGGACAATATAAAATTATTCGCAAGCATGAAAGAAAAGTTAATTAAACATGAAGGCAATTCTGGTGCCAAGAAGATCAGTTTAGAGGGCAAGGTAATATCTACTGAAAGCCACAGCATGAAGTGACCATTTCAGTTCACAAGAAACCAGCCCACATATCAAAGATGCTCTGGTGTGAAGACCTCTCTACAACTGGCAATCCCAAAAGGAAGACACTGGTGGCCAATTTAACCACTGTCTGTGCCCAAAATCTTTCCACACAAAGCACCTGACAAATATATCCTCCTGTGCACAATCTGTGAATTGTAAACCTTAAGAGAAGCCACAAGCAGGAGACACTACCTGACCAACTGCAGTGGAAGTTTATGGAATGTTTGTCAGGCTGCTTGGCACTGCCCCCTGAAAGTTCCAAGCTTGACCATGCCCAACCCCTAAGTCCCTGGTGGGACTTTACTGTGGCTGGCACGTGATGCCCAACACTTGGCAATCCCAGAATCATAGAACAGCCTGGGTGAGAAGGAACCTATAGTGACCATCTAGTTCAACACCCCTGACATGAACAGGGACACCTTCCACTAGGCCAGGTTGCTCCCAACCCCATTCAGCCTGGCCTTAACACTTTCACAGGTGAGGCATCCACAGGTTCTCTGCACAACTTTATCACACTCATAATAAATATTCATCATATACATCATATACATAGCGGCACATAGGGAGGTCTCAGCCCAACCAATGCACGCATTTACCTCCTGCTGCCAGGAATAAAAGCATGTTCTTCTGCCATCAAAAGAAAGTCCCTAGCCAACAGTATGCCTAGCACAAAGGCTTGTTAGTAAGGCTCATTTTAGTAGCTCTGTATGATGAAAAAAAATAACAACTTACTTTGTTCTAGGACTGCAAAACAAAATAGACTTATTTATGGTGGTGTAAAACTTTGTCGAAGTCTACAGCTTCAACAGACCTCTAAATCCCAATTTTCTTCATCCTTTAAGCAACCAGTATTACAGAAAATACAAGGCCATTTACCAAGCAAAGAAAGAAAATCTGAAGTTTGTGCAGCTCAGCAGTAGCCAAAGCACAGGTATGTTATCAGTACCTTTCCAGCTACCAATACAGAGCACAGCACTGCAAGGGCTGCTATGGGAAAATGAACTCTGTCTCAGCCAGACCCAATACAGACCTGATACAGATTACTTTCCATAAACACAAATTAATTCTGCTATTCACTTTTAATTATTTATTGATTTGTTTCATATTAATTGTTCCATTATTTTTCCAAGGATTTTTTTTTATTTCTTCTGTACAGTGGCTGGATTTTGCCACTGCATTTTTTTTCTAGAGAAGTCAACACACATGGAGTTAGCATGACGTATAGTTACAAGTAATTTTTGAAAATAGGACTGATAATATTTCTTTTTTTAAGCTGTGTTTTTAAGGAGATAAAGGACAAAAGAAAGGTAATGCAGACATACACACAAATATTGTAATAAGAAGCAAAAAAAAACAGCTAGGGACATTACATGTTAAACTGGGCCAGTACAGTATTGAAAAAAAAAATCCTCATTTTATCTTTATTTATTGTGTGGTTGAACCTATAAAATATGCAAGTATGAATTAAAAGAGTTTTTAAGTCACAGGTAAAAAAAAAAAAATCAAAAATTTAAGTTAATATCTGATGTATTCTAGAACTAAAACAGTCACACTTCTATATAGCATTTTCCGAGGCATGTTCAGTAGGAAAGCAGCTGAGACCCACTAGTGCCACTGAAACAAATTCTAATATTAACATATTCAATTGCCCTTGGCTACAGTCATTAACATTCGTTAAAATATTGAATTTGGTTCTTTACAATTAGTGTTTAAAAATCCGGTATGATCCAGCAACGATAAGAAATCTTTATAAATTTAATTCTGTATTTGTGTCTTTGTGATTTCACATTCAAAAAAACTCATGCAAAAGAAAAGCCATTTAAGAGAATATCAGTGACTCATTCAGGAGATTAAAAATATTTGAGATTGCATTTATAATGTTAAATCATCTCAGTTGTATAAATACCTTTTCAGGTCATTTAACTAGAGGGTTGTTTTCAGAAGATCCCCATCTCACTTAGATCTGGCAATAAGTTAACAGTTTGTGTTGAAGATACTAAATGTGAAGTAGCCAATCCCTCATTTGCTGTAGAAGAGTAATCTGATATAGTGAATAAGGTAGCATTTGGAGAATAGTTGTCAGATTAAAGAATTTAAGTACTGCCCAGATAAATTCAAATTTCCCTTTCTCTATAAAATCCAAGACCATACTGGAATAATTTAGGCAATAATTGTAAAAAACTGTCATTAATTCTGTTTTCCTAATTTTCTATACTCTATTTTAAATCCTCTCAGCTTCGGTTGTGGAATCTTTAGATCTCATTGCTGTAATGTAACATTTCATAGACTTGAGATCATAAAGGAATTGCAGCTATCCACAGTCAGAAGTTGAGATTTAGGATACCTGCTCTTCATCTAAACCATAGTGACTTCGAGAACGTGTCCTTCTTTTCTCTTTTGGTATTATTGGAATTTGATTCTAGAGGACTATAGGCAGTCTACAGTTATGAATTTCTATGAAGTACTAGGTCCAAGGCATCCAAAGCCAGTGAATAATTCTGGCTTTGCTTCCTTTGTTTCCATCTAAAACATGGCATGAATGGATACACGAATACACTTTTATTTCGTATTACATTTTATTAGGACTTTCTAGTTCCCTCATATATTGAAACTGCTGAGTCTCTAAATTCAAAGTTTGTATTTTTAACAGATAGATATATGTTCCAATTACCCAAACAAATCCTGACGTATGTGTTCACTAGGTACTCAACAATTCATGGAATCAGTGCATAAACAAGATATAAAAAATTACACATCAAATTGAGCAACTTCCCCCTGATGCTTGCTTTATCTAACCATCTGGGCTACAGCACAATATTATTGTCACATACACCTTTTGTTCCCTATAAATTTTACTTTTATTTCCGTATCAAAATATGGGTTTAATAAATTATTTGAAAAAGATTAGTTGAAAATCTGTGGCACTGCCAGGCACTACCTGCATTTATAAATCCCTGGTTGGTGCTTTGCTCACAGTAAAGATCCTTCTTTCCTTTTATGACTCGGTAGAATTCAATTCTTAAAATATTACTAAAGGAAAACTTCATTGCCTCCTGTGATTTTTAAAATTTAAGTAGCAAGAGAAATGCTTTGTCCAATAGCAATATTGAGTGAAATTACAGATTGATTCTTGTCTTGCTTTCAGCAGGATCCAATCTCCAGCTCAGCTTCTCACTTACACAGACTTTACTCCCTACAGCATTTTAAATGTTCTAAATTTTACTTCAGATTTTCATTCTGTGTGTCTTACCACTTGTGAGAAAAGGCGCTTTCTTCACACACTTGTTTTCATTTGTGTTAAGTCAAATCTCCTTAAATGTTCAGTTTAACATTCAGTTGGTTCCCAGCTGTATGGAAGGGTACCCTATAATTTGGGCAGCTATGAATAAAATATTTACCCATCATTCTGATCCCTATTTTTTTATACATCAGTGCATTGAGTATTCTAGCAAGAACTTTTCCACCCATCCAGCAAACCAGAGCACCACTGTGCAAAGAAGATGTTAGGCTGGGGCCATCTACTGGTTGTATTGCTGAGCTTTCATTGAAAATTTTGAAAAATTGCTTTACATATGTAATTCTATTCCAGTTATAAAAATACTAGCATATATTAATCACCTAAGTATGTGATGTTTCTTGTGCAATGGTTCTTTGCTTTTAAGATTAAATATTGTATGAAATTAATATGGGCTATTTATCAAAAGAAAAAATAATGTATTTTGCTTTCATAAACAAAATATAAAAAGCGAGGAAGGGGCCTCCTACTTCCCAATAACACCAAAAAGAAAATAAAGAATAAAGCAACCAGAAAGAAAACGAAGAAAATAGTGTAAGATTTCATCATGAATTTGTATGTGCTGTTCTAAAATAGATAAAATGCACAATTTCTGGGGGATTAAAAAAGATCTGTCAATTTTATTATGCTTTTAAAAGATTCTTATTAAAAATATATTCAAACAAAAAAAATTTAGCAGATGAAGACTAAAGCCTTTTAAACTGGAAGTTCTAATAAGTGAGCAACTACAAACCAAGAATAATCCACATTGATGGAGTCTGGAGACCAAAAGTATATTTACATAATGATGCTGTTAAGTATGTATTTACTCATTTATTATATGATAATACTAATAAGTACTTGTGTTGTAATTTAGTCTTATTTGTTATTTTAACTGTCTTTAGGGCAAGAGAGAACATTTTTCAGATTTTACAAGTTTAGGTGAGACTCTGCACTTACTAAATTGCCATGCATATACATTTATGTATAGGTATGTATACATAGAGACAAAAATATATACATACTAACTCCTTATGCTAATGCCTATACTTTTATAAATATATATTTATACACGTATAAAGGGATGCAATACATGTACATGTATATCACATGTAACTTGTACCTTTTATGCTCTCAGTTCAACAAAATCCTCTGTTGGCTCTTAGTTATACTGGGATTAAACACTATTCACATCTGCCCTCTGCAGATCCATCAGCAGAAGAGATTTCTAGCAGGAGCTCTAAGTAGTTAGCAGTTTAATCAAGAAATGCAAAATGCAATTTAAAACGTATAAAAGGCAGGTAAACAATAACACTTCTCAGCATAAAGAAGAAAGCATAAACATGTTGCAGGTTTGGAGACGAGGCTACAGGAGCTAAAACTAGGAAGAAAAATATTGCCACCATCACAGACAGAACTGGTAGATACACCTGCAAGAGAAAGAAAAAACTGGTTTAGGAATTTAACTGACCTACTGTGATTTTCCACCTCATTCATAAGAATAAAAACATGCTTTTTGCCACACTAAAGTACCATTTCTCATGCTGCTGCAAGCTCACCCAGCACAAAAGTCATCTGCCCTCAAAATACCGACGAGATAGGCATCTTTTCTAAAATACTTCAGGCTCTCTAGTGTTAAGGGAAAGAGATAGGCAATACCTGAAATCCATTTGTCCACATATCATGGGCTCCTCAAGGACACCCAGGGCTGGGTGTTGTGCTGGTTTTGGTTGGGCCAGATTAAATTTTCCTCACAGGGGCTCAGTGAAGAGCTGTGTTTTGGATTTGTGCTGAACACACAGATAAAAACAAACATAATTTTGCTAGCACTGAGCAGAGCTTACACTCAGCAACCTGGTCCTGTTGTTGTTCATCATAGTAATTTCAAGGTCTGATCCACCTTCCTGTCAGTTTCTAATAGAAAACTTATAAAATATCTGCTTAATTAACCATTAATGCATAATAATCTCATTTTTTATGTCCACCTGGTTCATGTCAAACACTAAGAATTTTCATTCCTGAGATTATCCGCATTAAGAAATTGTCACAATCTCTTCCAAAGTGCAAACCTAAGTCTTGCACTTGCATTAATAAATACAGCTGTCTAAACAGAAGATTCTTTTAAGTTAATTATGTGTCTTGTCGTCTCTTTGACCTCAATGTATTAATGGCACAGCAAGATTGCTGTGGGTGCAATTTAGCGTGAGCACAGCAAAGGAGGTAAGGCCCATCAGCTGATCCCTCCTGCTCTCTGATACCACCCTGTTCCTCCCTGGAGCGAAATAAAGCTCCAATTAAAGCTTTTCACCAGATCTACCAGAATATCACTTGACCCTCCATCACATCTCGGAGAGGAAAACTGTTCTGCCCTTCAGCAGTTGCATTAAACCCAGCCCTTCACAGACTACCTTCTTCCTCCCCGCGTTTTACAGTTGCCTTTAAAGATAGACACACCCCAGCTAAACACCGCCCCTCCTCACATTCCAGCCAGGGCTTCGTTCTGGTATGTCCGCCCTCCCCCCCCCCGCCTCCCTTCCACAGCCTCCTCTCTTCAGAGCCCACATGAAGATGAGCTTAGCGAAGCCCTTCCCATCACACGTACAAGAAAACGCCCACGTTTCCCCTCCAGCTCCCGCAGGAAGGGAGGGACGCGGTGGCCCTTAGCGCCCCGCAGCGCCCCGCGCCGCCACCACAGGGCAAACGACACCAAAACAAGCGGCGGGGACGACACACCGGCGGCCGCGCTGATTGGTTGGGACTCGGTGAGCAGGGCGGGGTCGGGTGGAGCTGCTTTGCTGATTGGATGCAGAGCGTGGTGGGGCGGGGAGATCGCGCTGATTGGCTGCGGCGCGGCGAAGATCGGGGCTGGCAGCCGTTGGCGCGGGGTTTGAAGATGGCGACGGCGGCCCGAGGCGCGCTGGGAGTGGCGGACAGCAGCGATAACTCCGTCAGCCGCTCCGAGAATTCGGCCCCGCCGGACGCCGTGGAGGCCGTGGCCGCGGAGTGGATGCTGGAGTTCGCCTGCTCCTCCCTGTGCCGCCACTTCGAGGAGCAGAGCGGGGCGGAGTTCTGGCGCTGGCGGGACGTTGCGCAGGGTGAGCCGCTCCGCAGCCCTGAGGGGCAGCAGCCCCCGGCACGCCGGGCGTGGCTGCGCTAAAGCGCTCGTAGCCCGTCCACCACCGTGGGCAGCAGCGCTGGGGGTGATGCTCAAACTCTTTCGGGGGCCTCAGGAGGGCTTGGGTGGTACTCGCACACGGCAGCAATACAGCAGTGCTAGACATATTTCAGAGAACTATAGTCTGGCAGACAGAGGTGAGATGAAATGAAGACTGGTGACTGGATTTTGAATGGAAAAACATACCTTTAAAATGAGACATGATCTTTAGAGTGAGAGTGGTTGACAAGTGGAAGTAAATGTCTATGTCTCAGATAAATTTGATGGGTTTATGATGTTTTCTTCTGTAAGAAGCAGTTTTCCTGGGGATACCAGGTTAGAGATTTGGAGGATATTTTTTTCTTTGTGTATGTTCTTGACTCAAGTGAATGCAGTAGTATGACTTGTTTAAACTTCTGCAAAGAGCGAAATACAATGCCATGTAGAATGATTACTAAGTCTATTTATATGGACTATGGTAAAAAATCTAACAGTAACTTAATAAAGTACTTTGAATGGGGGGCTGCTAGATTAGATTATTTATATTGCCTTTCGATATGTGGCCTTTGGACTGGAAAATTGTACTGAAGTTTCATGAAGGTGGGAAGCAGAGACACTCAATGCAAAAGCAGATTGAAAATATCTCCTGGGAAGACTAAGTGTATTAGTAGAAACTATTGATTAAATTGTAGAGAATTCAAGGCCATATGGAAATAAGAAATAATAGTAAATTTTGAATTTGTTCCTACTCTGTTCAACAACAGAGGAAAGAGTTTGGCACTCTAAGATTATAAAGTCAATATTGTAAAAGCCTTTGGGAAAAGCTAAGCACAGTCATAACAATAGAATAGAAAATAGAAAAGTAGGCATGTTTTTTTCATAGAAACACAGAACTATTACTTTTGCATATGTCAAAGGGAGACCTACAGAAATAATGATTGGCTGTCAACAGGAAAGTCAATTCAAGCTGAAGCAAGTGCAGAAAGGTAGGAAGGCAGTGGTTCTCAGCAGCTCCTTTGAACCCCAACTATTTTGTGATTCACTTTTCATTTTGAATGGTTCTGTATTATGCTGTGAAGATGAATTACTATATCCAGCACATTAGCATAAGAAATTCATAGTAATCTGCATGATGGGAACAAACTCATGACAGCTCCCATTTTAAAATATGTGATAATCCTTGTGACCTTCCAGCCCCGCAAGGAGGATTTCCCTTGTAAATTTACATTTCTGAGTAAGCTTTCCATGTTGCTTTTACTGCCTCAGTTCTGTAAGTTGCTATAGTAACATGTAAGAAGTCTGTCTGTGGCATTCCCTAGAAGTGAATGCCCACACTTCCCTGGAATTGTTCTTTGGAGCAGACAGCTGTCTTTTGTAGTACCCTACTTACCAAAAAAAAAACCCCTAAATTTGATTCTGTGGTCTTTGAATTGGATGAATTTAAGCCTGTGGTTAATTCTACTGTTTCTTCAGAAGAAGATATCCTCTTTTGGTCAAGCTCTTAAATAATATTTTAGCAGGGAAGAATACTAATTAAGTGTGCTTCATTGGTTTCTTAAGGAGTTAGAAATTTAGTGGAATCTGATAACACAGTGTCAAGTATATATCTAGCCACACTGTGGCAGTGCTGGAGCAAGACTGACTTAACTTTTCTCTTCTTTTTCAGCTCTTATTAATGGTTTCTCCCAAATACCTCCACATCAGAAAAAAACAGTATATCTCTGCCAGCTTTTGATAAGAATTGCACAAGGAAAAACTCTTGGTAAGTACATAGGTATAGTTTTTTTTCCACTTGTTTAAAAATAGTTTTATAAACTTCTACAGAAGTGTATTAGATATGCTTTCATATAGCCCTTACTCTGCAGATCTGTATATGTTTTTATCTATAGATACAGCTATATATAAACTGAATAAATTTCACATTTTGTACTGTCTTTATTACACATGTGAGCTGTCTGCAGGACTGGTGTTATTCTGTGCTGACTTACTTAGCTGCATGGAGTTTGAATGACCATATACTTCTTAAATTGATACTTTTTTGTCAGAATAGTATCGACAAAAGAAATATACTGGAAAGGAATGAATAGCTCTTACTGAACAATACTTGCAAGTTTAAAACTCATGATATGTGTTCTTTTCTGCACATTTAACTCTAGAGATTAAAGTAGGACAGAAGCAGGAATGAGAAGATGGATGAAAAGGGTGACTGTCTATATTTCCTATAGAAGACTGTAAGATTCCCAGCCGTCTGCAAGTCCTTGGGGCTCTTATTCACTACCATATCTTCTGTTTGGCTGCATTTGTAACTTGTTGGTTTAGCCAAGATGATTTTGTTTGAGTTTCTGGAAGACTTTAACTTCTTTTTTTTTCACTGTTTGATAAAACTCTGGAATTTAAAGACTTCAGAAGCAGTCTTGAAAGCATGAGCATGGAATAAAAAAGTGTATTCTAGCCTAGCAATGCCACAAAGTCTTGTTTCCATACAATTAAATTATTAAATTTCCTCTGTTGCTTATCAGGTATTATGTCATCCTGTTCTGGTTTAGCTTGGGAGTCAAATTCTAATATTTTAAATAGTATAAAAATTAGGCAAATTTTTGTCCTAATGCTCTAAATTATAATATTGTATATAACATTTGAGAATATTACTTCATTGTGTGTTTTTGTCTTATCAGTAGAGAATTATCTGTGTGATGAGGAAGATTGCATGTGTGTAGTAGGTCTTACATAAGCTGTAGCTACACAATGTATGTGGAAAGCTAATATATGGTAGTTTTCCTATTTTGCTAATAATTAAAATATTTGATCTGTACTGATCATACAGAGTGGGCTGTTTCAGATTTCTAGGAGCTAAACACTTTGGTTTTACACTATTAAAGTAAGCAATATGAAGTGTCATGTTACTTGATTTAGACAATAATTAGAGAAACACATGTTTTTGTTTTCATTATGTGTCTATATATGCACATAATTATGTTTGAAATTTCACTGTTTGACATTGTAGTGGATATAAAATAATTTTTCTCCAGTATTGTGGAAGTTGTTTACCTTCTGTCTGAAAAATACTTAATGAAAGGAGTAAGTTATTAAGAGAGATTCTGCTGATACAATAAAATGAAGGCACAAGTGATGCTGTAGTTCGGTGAACATCTTGAATTAAGGTGGCAGTGCCATGGGAAAAAAGCACTTGTGCATCTGCCAGCTCCTCCTGCATCTGTTACATTGGCACACTCACTTGTGCAGGTGTGCAGTGACCAGTCTGGGAAACTGCTTTCGAGTGTTAAGGGGATGAATATTTGCCTAGACTAGATTTCTGCCAGAACTGGTCACTGATCTTTTGCTGGGAGTTTGCACGAACCTTGGTGTTGGCACAGAAGTACACTGGCATGGAAGGTTGCTTCTGCTTTTTCAGTGACACTCCTGTGTAGACCTGTTTGAGTTTCCCTCTTGGTTTAAGCACTTCAAATACAACAGAAAGTTAAGACATGGAAATAGTGATAGACACAGGAAGAAAAAAAAAAAAACAAACTACTTAGCATGGTAATTGTATTACAAAATTAATAGTATCAATGGCAAATGTTGTGAAATCTCATGCTAAGTTTAATGCATTATTAATGCCAGACCAAATACCTAATTGCAAGTAGCATTTTAAGTGATCAATAATTAGCTGACATAATACCCCTTGAAAATGCAGCAGTAATGTTACTAGGAAGGGAAGGAAGAACCAGTCTCTGGAAAGAAGACAGATGCTTCAAGTTTCTTAAACACCTAAAAATTGAGGAAAAAGGAACTGAAATTGTATAATACAAATTACTGCATATAAATAATGTAATCTATGTAACTTTATCCTTTAATTTTTATAAGTACTTTGGTTTTTTCCCCCTCTAAGGATTACAGTTTGAAAATGATCCAAGAATTTCACCTTTGGAATCTGCTCTGTCTTTCTGGACTTTACTCGAAAGGGAAGAAATTAAACTGGAAAAACTTCATGAAGAAATTCGTCGCTTGATTCAAATTCAGGTCTGTGTGACTTACTCATAGTGCTTCAAGATGCTGCCTACTCATTGGGAATGGGTAGCTGGAAATCTGCCTGGTGGGAAAGGACCTAGAGTTGCTGGTCAACAGCAGCTAAACAAGAGCCAGCATGCGCCCAGGTGGCCAAGAAGGCCAGTGGCATCCTGGCTTGTATCCAGAACATTGTGGCCATCAGGACCAGGGCAGTGATTACTCAGCACTGATGAGGCCATACCTTGAATCCTGTGTTCAGTTCTGGGCCCCTCAGGACAAGAAAGACTTTGAAGTGCTGGAGAGTGTCCAGAGAAGCGCAACAGAACTGGTGAAGGGTCTGGAGCACAAATGTTATTACTAGGAGTAGCTGAGGGAGCTGGGAGTGTTTAGCCTGGAGAAAAGGAGGCTCGGGGGGACCTTGTCAGTATCTACAACTGCCTGAAAGGAGGTTGTAGCCAGGTGGGGGTTGGTCTCTTCTCCCAGGTGACTAGTGACAGGATGAGAGGAAATGGCCTCAAGTTGTGCCAGGGGAGGTTTAAACTGGGTATAAGAAAAAACTTTTTCACACAAAGGGTTGCACGACATTGAAAAAGACTGCCCAGGGAAGTGGTGGAGGCACTATCCTTGGAACGGTTTGAAAAAAACATGTGGATATGGCACTTGAGGATGTGGATTAATGGTGAACATTGGTGGTGTGTGCTAGGCTGATGGTTGGACTTGATGACCTTAAAGGTCTTTTCCAACCTTAAAAATTCTATTCTATCCTTACTAAAACAGAGCCTTTTTTACAAAAATCTTGGGCTATTAGCAGACTATTCAGACTGAACTGAATTTTCAGTTTTAGACAGATTAAAGAGGTCTGTATAGGGGACCTTTTTCTATCTCATATGGTTCCTGTTTGTACCAGTTCAAATTTGTTTCAAAAGCTGCCAATCTGAAAAAGATACCAGTTGAAATAAATTTCAAAACTAATTTCAGTACTAACTGTTAGAATTAGATAAGTATCAATAACCCTTAAATATATAATCATCTGGATTTTTGGAGTCTTAGAAAACTGTAGAATTGTGAATTCTCTTGCTTTTTCTGAATCTCAGGTGGAATATTTATCATATCTTTTAATTATATTTCTTGTAGATTGTAGCAGTCTATATGGAAAACAGATATTTCAAGGAAGCTGCTGAAGTTCTTGAAAGGTTGTTCACAGACTCTGAATCAGATAAGGTAGTAAATTGTTTAAATTGCATTAAAAGTTCTTGACTTTCAGAAGAGAAAGAGGGGAGTTGATTTGCAAAGCTAGCAAATCCTACCTGCATAACTTCAATTTTGTTATTGTCTGTGCAGTCACTTTCATCCTATGTCACTTTAAAATGCAAAAAAAAAATTTGTGGCCAGATTGATAAAATATTGGATTATTTCTGTGGGAGTAAAATGCTTTTAGCAGCATTTTACTTCATCCCCTCTTCCACTTTATATGAGGAGTGAGATAGCACTACAAATTCTAGCAATTTGATAGTGCTGACTACTAACAGCCAATTTGCTGATTTCTATTGTAGTGGACTCTGTCATCTCCAATTAGTGTTCTATGTACCAAAGCATCCCAGGGAAGGAAAACTCATTAGCTTCTGTAGTACAGACTGAATGCTATTATGCCTCTGACTGGAAAAGACAACATATGTTTTAGGCCATCTCCTGGTTTGAAGTTGACTGCATCACTCATCAAGTTGCAAGTTTGAGTGAATATGTCTCTAATATAATAGTTAGTACACACATTTGAATTTGCTGGAGTGAAGAGAAGAGCAACAGAAGGACTGTAGGTGAAAAGAAGTTAAAAATGCTTCCTGTATCTTCAACTGGTATATTAGGACACATGTTCTGTGTAAGTAGTAGCCTGTGTATAATTATTCTTCAGATACACTTCCATTCGGAGGATTTGGATGTCTGGAAAGTGTAGATTGTGGTAATAATACTCAAATTCATAAATAAAAATGCAGCCTATACATAGAAAACAATTCTCCGGATATATTGGCTTCTGTAAAATTCAGAGGCATTGGTAGACAAAATATGAATTTCTAATTATCAGTATTGATGTATCCTTAGTGCTGCTGTACTAAGTTATCCTTCTCCTGAGCACTGTACAACTCTTTCAATGGCAGTCTTTTGGAGGCGGGAAAGGAGAAGGGAGAACCGAATAATGGGTGGCTTTTTCTGGGTGTGTTTCTCCCACTGACAACCCTGCTTTCAGTGTTATTCATAAAGGAAATGAAATGTAGATCTCTGGTCAGTTATGCTTTGCCATTTACTGAGCACATAAGGTAAATACCTGGTATTATGTCTGGTTGACTCCAGAACAGTTTCAAACTGTAGCAGGAAGTTGTATAGGGATATTCAGGAGCCTGTATAATCATCACGTTTAGCTTTCTGTATTTCCTGTTTAGCACAGATACCAAGTTTGCTGCAGGATTTGTGTTGTATAAAGCTGTGCTTTTCTTAGCCTTTAAGGGTGAAGCTGGCAACCGTAATTAAAACCAAGGATCCATATGTTCCTCTTCTCCAAAGCTTCAGTTACAGTCTTTTGATAAGTAAAATCAAGTCTTACATTGAACTTTTCATGAAAGAAAATGAAACTAACTTCTTAAGACAGGTATGTTGAAAGTATTTTTAAAAATTTTGAAAAAATTTACATGATACAATTAAATAGAACTATCCTTTCAAGGGAGTTGTTTAGGTAATATTCAGTTACTGTATTAGATGAAAAGAAAACTTTATCTTCCTTTGGAATGTCTTATTTTCAACCTTTTTGTTTTAATTTATATGTCTTGGAGAAAGTTAGTAGGAAAGAGACTGCTTCTAAATATCTTATATTAATGTTTTTCCCACAGCTACTTTGATTAGAAAAATAGTTAGGATAATAGTGTTAATAATAATAGTGTTAATAGGATAATAATCTTGTTTTAACAAGATCTGTTTAAGAAATGCAGTTCTGATATAGGACTCCTTAAAAATGTAGCTTTATATTTATGGATTATTTTATTTAAGCTTACATGACTTCCCCTACTAAAAATAAAAAATCAAGACCTGTTAATTTGGATAAAAGCTTTAGGAATGTCAGGGGAGTTAGGAGATAGAAAGCTATTATTGCTGTTTTCCTGTAAATACAAATGTTTCTTACAAACCATCTTACTCAAAAGTGATTTAAAATCGGCAAGAACAACATTCCTTCTTCAGTTCATCTTCAGGAGGATTGTAAAGAATTTCTCTTATGTTTACTTCATATAAAAGAATATTGAATTATTCAATTACAAAAGCACAGACGTCTAAAGGTAATAAGAAGCAAATTTTAAATAAACAATCCTGAAGTTCCTCTGTGTTTTTCATTTTCTTATCAGAGAGACTGGGCAACTTATTAAATACACTCAAAGTATAATACAAGGAATACCTTTTAATGGTTTCACTTGAATGTCAGTTTTCAAGTTTATTTTCCAAGGCTCTTGAGTGTAAGAGAAAGCGGAGGCTTGGAGGTGTCAGAGAAGACCCAGAATTCCATACTAACATGCCTAAGGCCCTCACTGCTTGCATCCCCACTGCAGGCATTTGTCCATCCTATTTGTCCTACTGTCTGTACCCACATTGCAAATCTTACTTTGAGCAGAGTTATTCTGGCACATGGAGGAGACAGCTTTGTGAGGAATTCCCCCTTCTGTGCAGCACACAGGTTTCCCAGCAGTGTACCCTGTCTTCTCTGCAGAAGAACATTCTAGCTTTAACTGCTAATTTCTCTTTCTTCTAGTGCCAGATGTAAAAGTATAATCATAGAATAGTTTGGATTGAAAGGAATCTTTAAAGGTCATTTAGTCCAACTCACTTGCAATAAGCAGGGACATCTTTAATTAGATCAGGTTGTTTAGAGTCCCATTCAACCTGGCCTTGAAGGTTTTCAGGGATCAACCAACGTGCTGGGCAGCATGTTCCATGTTTTGCCACTCTCATCATAAACAAAACAGAATTCTTCCTTATATCTAGTCCAAATCTACCCTCTTTTAGTTTAAAATCATTAACTCTTGTCCTACCTCTACAGGCCCTGGTAAGAAGTTTGTCCTATCTTTATTCAGTGTAGGAGGCCCCTTTTAGGTATTCTATAAGGAGTAATGAATTACTACTGCCTTCTCTTGTCAATGAAGGTGAAATAATCTTAATTTGTGGCTAAAAGTTTGAGCAGGATGTTAGAAATATTTTTTGCCAGTGCAAAAAAAGCTTGTATTGCAAGCCTAAGGTCTGCTTAGAAATGTCTTTTGAACATGTTACATGTATGCTTTGTCCTGCCATGTGCTACAGAACTAGATAAACTTGACACCTGTCAGTTTCAGTTTCTAACCTAGTTATAAATACAGGCTTTGGAGTACTTTGGTAATATTTGCAGTCTTAGTTAAGTTCTGTAATTTACTTAACACATTTTTAAGTTCACTCATGCGACTATTTGTTGCATTTCTTTGCGTCCATATAAAAATCAATTGCAGCTATGACTAAAATTTTTCCTAGTTTATAAAGATCTTTAGGGATTTCAACTTAACATGCTAAAGTTGTTTTGAAACTACTTACTTTAATGTTAATACCTCTGAAAGGTCTATCAAATAAGCACTGCTAGTTCTAATAAAAAGTATGCATATTAATCTTAGTGCAAACTCCTATCTATGTACTGTCTGGCTTTAATTTAAAACTATCAATTACATTTCTCACAGGAAGCCACAAAACATGTGGTTTCTAAAGGGTTGAGAGCAACATTGCAAAACAGACCTGTGGAAGTCAATGAAAATGGCAAAAGTGATTTGGAAACAAAACAAAGGTTTGTATTAAGTGTTATACTGCTAAAGGATGCGCTTGGACAGTAACATGAAACTTGTAGATCAAAGAGTAGGTAAAAGGGGGGAAAGTTAAATTCCAAACTGCTGTCCAATAGAAAACTAGCTACAAGCACATTCCCTATTTTCTTTAAATTTGTGCTCTTCTGTGGTTGTTACTTTTGGCATTTACATGAAAAAGCTTGTCATTAAGTTTAATTATTTGTGAGGCTGGACAATTTGCAGTTTAAACAGCTGTCAGTCTATAATAATATAAGCACAAAAAAGACTTTGCTTTTGTAATGCTTGATTGGACTCTTTTTAGTTCTAATTTCAGGCTATTGGTCATCTCAAGAAGAAAAAGAATAAGGAAATGGAATCAGCTTTACATTTTTCTTACAGTGACCCTTTAATGATACTAGTGTGAAGGAAAATAGTTACGTTGCTTCATGATTCTGACAGTGCAAGCCTTCAGAACCATTATATGATTATTTTGGAAAATGTTAATGTTCTAGGTTTATCACCATTTATTCAGGGAAAATAAGTTGCTGGCTTTAGCTGGGATAGAATCTGTATTTCTTCATTTTTGTACTTGGAATACTTGGCATCACTTAGTTAATAAAATGCTGATGCAGTCAGTATAGAGGAGGACAAGTCATAAGATTTTTTTTAATCTGTTTTTTTAGAAGGGCAGCTTCTGACACATCTGAGAGATATGATGAAAGACTCGTTCAAAAAAAACCTATGGAAATAATTCCTAATGAAAAAATAGAAGTGCAAAATGCCTCTTTAAATGTCTTGAGAACAGGCTACCCAAGGAAGTGGTCACATTACCAAACCTGACAGAGTTCAAGAAGCATTTGCACGGTGGTCTCAAGCACATGATGTGACTCTTGGGGATGTCTGTGCAGGGCTAAAAGATGAACTCAGTGATCCCTGTGGGTCCCTTCCAGCTCAGCAGATTCTGTATTTCTCGTCCAGGTATAGGGAGGCAAGGTTAAGAGGGTGATTGCATTGATGCAGCTAGTGATTGTATGCCACTGCTGCTGTAGGGAAGTCTTAGATGAAGAATGAAGAAAGTCTTTAATTTAAATATTGTTGAATCATATAAATGACAAGTTGCTGCATAGGAAATAATTTTTTTTGTCTTTTCTTTTAAGATTGATGAAAGAGAAACAGTGTATCACAAGCCAGTCATCTGTAAGCATAAAAAAACCCATAGCAAGGTAAAAAATTTTGTTGTTATTGCTCTGATCACTGACTTTTCATCAAGTTCTTTGTATTTTTACTTCAGATTTGTGTTCTTTGCAGGAAACGTTCAGGACAGAAGCCCAAAGAGAGCAGAGTTCTTCAGAGTGAGAATTAGTTTATTTTTACACTTTCAAAACAGTCATGTCAGGCACTTATTTCTAACTGCTATCCAATGTGATTTGATTAAGGCAGAAATGGTTGTGGTGGATAAAAACACTCCAAGTTGTCTATGGTTTCTGTACAAATGCAAACTAGGTGATTGCCATATTTAGTAAGCAGTGAAATGGCTTAAAGTTCTCTAGCAATTAATTTTGTAAAGTCATTCACTATTTTCTGGTTTGCTTGGTTGGTTTACAGGACTTATGGTATTCTGTGCAAAAGAAAGTGGACAGAGGAGTACTGAAATTAATTTCTTTCTCAATTCTGTTGCTAGAAAACTTGATTGGGAAGGACCTAAAGAAGTTAGCTGATTGGAAAAACAAATTGTACTGTAAAATGTACGAAGTCAGGATGTTTGTGTGATTTCCTGGAACTACGTCTTAAAAACCTAACACAGATAATATAATAGTTATAAGTAAGTTCTTAAGACCATTAGCACCCTCTTACCACAGCGAGATGTGTTATAGTTCCTGCACGTGGCCATGTTGTACATGGAAGGACAAATTCTTAAACTCTTAAGATGCCTTGAATGCTTGCCATAGTTAAACCTGATACATGTACTTAGAAATTATGGCATTTGTGTACAAAGAATCATAGCTCTGATTGGTTGTTACTTCCCATCCTATAGTGTACACAGTGCATTCAAAATAATGTATATTCTTGTCAGGTGTAAATGGTAAAACTGCTGCCTTGATGTAGACTCCTCATTGTTTTGGATTTATATTATCTGTCTTCTAGGTCTTAACAACTTGCAAAATGTGGGAAAAAATGGAGTTCCTTTGGCATGTAGCCGAAAAAAACAGGTTTGTACCTATTCTCTCTTTTAAATGGAGATAAAATGAATCTGCATGCGCAGAATTTTTTTATCAACTTTAATTTTTAAATCTATTGCTCAGATTTAAGATTATGTAAATTAGTCGAGTGCTACAGTTCCTGAAATTGTTACAGTCCCTTTCTTTTTAAAGACAGGAAATAGAACATATTTTTACTGTCTCAAATGTTGTTGCTAAAGCTTCCAAGGCTTTTATTTGTTGAAATACACCCTTAACAAAGCTTACTGTGAAATAAAAAATTATTTCCACAGTTTGGATTAAAGAATTCAGGATGTCATTTGCCTGTGAGAATTTTGGGCAAGTATCAGGGGCAACTCATTTTCCAGCTTAGAAGGTTAAAGATTTAGCAATTTTATAATTCAATACTTTTGTGATATAAAAACATATTTACTTGGAAAACTACTCTAGTTTTTATAAACCAAATGGTAGGGTCTTCTTATAATGCTACATTTCAAATGGTCCTTTGTGCATTCTTCCTGAGTAAGCCTACTTCATGGTAGGGTTACATTAAAATTACCCTACTGTGTTCACTAATGCTAGCATTCACATTGGTGGAATGTGCAGAAGTGTATGCCTTAACAGAATGCAATTTGAAGTTGATTTGATGTTGAGGTCTTTCAAGCTAATTTTTGATTATAGCCAATTATCCTTCATAAGTGTTTGGCATTTTATCATGATAACTGAAGAAATTAACATTAAATAACTATATTGATATTGTTGGAGTCTTCTTTATGATATCTCTTAGGAAGCAATATGGAGTCTTTCAGTTTAGATAATAGTACAAGTTGTCATCATATATCCATTTTGATGCGAGCTGTTTTGTTTTTCTGGTGTTCACTTTGATATTTCATTTTTCACATAACAGGGAAGACCAAATCTGCGTTTTTGTTTTTCTCTAGAGCTATTTCTTTAAGAATTTTTACTGAAGTTGATGTACTGATTAAATCTTCAGTTAGATGCTGTCCTCAAATGGGTTGAAGTCCTAATGAGATCTGATTCTTGAAGTTTAAGCCCCTATAAAGAGTTTTTTTCAGTTTCTCACAGATCTCAGGAATAGTTAGATCACTGACAATCTCTTTAAAAGCTGAAGATAAAACCAGTGCCCTAAGGGAAAAAAAAAAAGACAGCACTTATTGGATTTGTTTTTTGCCTTTAAAGACAAATTTACTTTATTCCAGCATATACTTGGATAGGTACCTTGTTAGGCAGTTGCTGGTAAGCATGAACACTTTGATCAAGCTTGCTTTCAACATCAAGAATTAAACTATTTGGACCACAATGACATAGAGCTAATGAAAGCTTTGTAGTCACATATTTTTATGCCGAGCTAGTCTGTTACGGGGTCACCTACAAGCATGTGTCTAGGTCTAGGGCTTATACACACATCTTGTTAGAAAAAAACAAGAGTTGTTTGCTTAATTATGTTGTAATAGTTCAACCTTAATTGAAATATAAAGACTAAATTGTAGAGAACTGCATCTGACAGGGGCACTGAAAATTTTAAAATAACTTAAATGAAACTTAAGATTCAGAACTCTGTTTCTTTCAACACTTAGAAAAGTTGTAGGCATCTGCTCCCTCTGTTATATTTATGCCTTATTCCCTTCCACTAAAACCTCATAAATGTTTTATAGAAAGCATTGATAATTGGCCTTTTAAACAACAAATCTGCTCCTCTGCTTTATCATCTGGGTTATAAAATTGTCCACATGCATGAAAGAATGCAATGAATGTCAGAGCTGTTGACTTCTAGAACTTCCTTTTCCATGTAGTCCCTCATTCAATGTTGGCATTGTTTGCTCTTGTTTTGTAAACGGCATTTCATTGCAATGGTTCAGTGCCCATTTTCAGCCTTTCAGTGTTTTCAGTTAGCTGCATAGAACAATCTGCAGTGTTATTGAAAGGACGCATACTTTATTTTCTCATTCCTAAATTAGGGGATGCAAGTGTCACAGAATTTAGGGAACTGTTTGTACTCAATTTTATATCCAGTAATTAAATGGCAAGTCCTTTGAGTTGTCTAAAATATGGATGATACTTGATTTAACTTAAAAAATGTGTCTGAAAATCTGAGTGTTCGGAGTTTTGTCAACTTGTATGGAAAAAAAAATCTGTATATTTAAAGTTGAAGGAGAAAACTCAGCAGAGTCCAATAACGTATAAAGGAAAAGAGGTTATTAGAGCAGAACTGACTAAAGAAGTAACAAGATCTTCAGATTTGTGAGGGAATGTCTTCACATTCTGCCTGGCAAACTCAAGCTTTCTCTGCTGGTGCTCAGGGCTGGCCAGATGTCACGTTGCTGTGGACCAGGCACTGTGCTGATGTGAGCTCAAGCGTAGTGCTGCATTATGTCCAGGCTTTCTACCAATCTTGTAGCAGTGCAAAGCTGGAATCTAGATAAATTCTGGCCCAGAGGGGACAGAGAACTTTTCATTGAGTGGGGCAGGAGACAAGTTATTGCTCTGTTCTCTTCCTCAGTGAAAAGAAAATGAGTCAGTCCCTGATTTACCTGTGAAGCAGACCCTCATTTATACAATAAGTGGAAGAAATTTATTTTTTTAAAAAAAGCTCAGTGTAAGAAATTAAAAATCAAAACAAGCTAAAAACAACCATTTAACAGCAAATGTAATTAATCATTGCAAGTAATAAGTGTTGTGATTGTCTCTTTTGATGAAAGTATTTGAATTATCTGGCTCTGTAGGTCAAGCATAACTGTGTTACTTGAATAAAGATTTTATTTAGTAAAGTTTTCTGGCATGCTCTGAAACGAGATGAACTACATGATTCCAATGGAATCTCTGGTCTTTTAATAATAGTAGAGAAAAAGGCTGTTTACTGCTAATGTTGCAAAAGATCTGTAGAAGAGGAAGAATTAGGAAAAGGAAGTATTTTTGATAAAAGGTAAACTACTTTAGAGAAGTTTTAGGTTCCTAACTGCTCAAAAAATACAGTTGAACTACTATTACTTGTAATTCTTTCACTGCTTAGTGAGGTTTGTCAGTGATCAGAATTTACTGAAGAGGCCCTGACACTTGCATTAAGCTGGAATAAATACAGCTTTGAGATGTGAAGTTTAGTCTTTACACACCTCAGCTTGCACTTTGTTTAGATGCCACATTTTCCCTTTTTGGAGAATAACCAGGATAGTTTTGATCTGCTACAGTGTTGAGGTTGAATATTACTCCCCCTTGTATTTCATGTCTGAGCCCTGCTGCAATTTTTAGAAGTATAAATTTAACAGAAGGTTGGAACCATGCAGAATAACACTCAAAATTGTCACATGGCCAGAGATTATATTGATGATGCTTACAAGAGCTTTTAAAGATCCCAGAAGGATTCCAGGTCATTAAGAAATAATTTTTTTTTCTTCGTATTTCCACGGTTGTGGGTTCTTGTGCCACTGACAGTCATGTTGGCTGGGTTTTCCTGCTGCTCATCCTCCCTTGTGCACAAGCAGGAGGGTATGCATTTGTGTAATGACAACAGCCGTAAGATTTGCGTTTCCATTGTGTACATTATTTTTGGAGTTAAGTGATGTAATTCGCTTTTCCTTGCACTTATCAGATCTACTAGTCTGGTTTAAGTTGAGGCTATTCCTTTGCACCTACATTTCCCTTTCTGCTCAGTTCTTTACAATTTTGAAGGTTTCAGTTGTAAGGGTGAGCCATAGTATGATTCTCTAATGTTCCCTTCTGCTTTATAGCCAACACTATTTATCCATGTGATAGTTGGAAGCAATCTGTTACTTACACAAGGAGGTTTTATACATACTCTGGGAAACCAACCTTTCTTCCACCAAGCTATAAATTTTAGGCCTTCAGATTCAGCCATTTACCATTCTTATGGCTCTTGTAATGTTCTATAAACATTTTTTACTTCCAATCCAGTTACGCCAATTAACCCAAGGCTTTATTACACAGGTCCCCTTTGGGAGCCCCCTTAAAGCTCTACAGGTTCAGTTACAAATTTATCATTTATCTCTAGTTTCAAGATAAGGTGCTCAAAAAAAACCCTCTGACATCTGTAATAACTAGAGAGCTGTTTGAAAATTTGCTTTTATATTTCCTATAAGCTCTTAGATTAATACCTTTCTCTGTTCATATATCTGGTATTTTTCTTGCCCTAGCTATGGACTCCCAAAGAAGACTTGGAGCTGAAATCGGGAGTAAGGCAGTTTGGAGTGGGTAACTGGGCTAAAATTTTAGCCCATGGTAACTTCAACAACAGAACAAGTGTCATGTTGAAAGACCGGTGGAGGACACTGAGCAAGACCAAACAAAGCTGATTTGGACTGCAGGAACCAACTCTTCTTGACCTTTCCCTACATGAGGACCTATTCTAGCTTTTCAGAATAACATCTTATTTTAGACTCAGAGTATCCAGTACTGTTGCTGTCCTAAAACATGAAACAGAATAGTAATAGGTATAAAACATTTGTGTAAGCTCACTTGCTCTGGTAATGAGGACTTAAATGTAGAGTCTGGCCTTTTTTGCTGTATGCAGTAACAGATCACCTAGATTCTGAAATGTGAAAGTGTTTGCAGTGATTTAAGAGATGTCTATTATGTAAATTAGGGGTATTAGATCTTTAGTTTGATGGGGGCTAATAAAAAGTCAAGTGTTCTGTATTTTTAATGGGCTATATCTCTTCTTAGATTGACCTTTTCATATTTTTACTTCCTGCCATAAAGCCCATTCTAATTTGCTTTGCTTTACTTTGAAATTTAGATCAGACTTGTCATCTCTGTAAGTTATACTGAAAAGCATGTATGTATTAGTATTGTTAATTTTATGAGATAATGGTTTGTTGGGTTTTTTTCTGCAGTTAAAAAGGTGTAAATTCATATAATGTTGTATTTGTAAGTAACAAAGGGACTGGTTAATTTTTTACATGGAAAGGAGCACTATTATACTAGCACTTAGCATCTCTTGGTTAGCTTGTGCCACCTACCTTGTCTTGACAAGTGACTTCTTCCAGAGCAGCAGGAAAGGGAAAGCTCAAAAACACATGGCCAAAGTGGGGCGCAATAATGAGTCTACTCTGTCAGTGACAGCAAAGATACTCTTTAATGGGGGTCACTAGCAAAGTCTCTGCTGGCCACTGTAACTCTCCTGCTCATGGGAGACTGTAACAGATGGATGATGGCACTAGCCTGTATCTCTGGATTCAGATAATTTGGAAGAGATTTCCACAATCTCAGAAAACTCACGCTTTCCGCTGTCATACTGGTGTGAATCAAGTGAAATGCAATTCAAAGTTTGTTTTACAACACATTCTTACTGTAGACAGAACCTCAAGCAGATCACCTTTCTTATTCTTGCTAGGAGACTCTATGGCTTCTTCCAGGAAGTCTTCATGTTGCACGCAAATGCTGCCTGTCTTAACAGGAAATTTTCTCAACCTTCATAGCAGTCTTGTCAGTTCTCAGTAAGTAATTTTTTTACTCTTAGCCAAGGCCTTAGTCACAAAGTCTGGTCTAGGTTCATCTGCCAGAAAAGTTACACTATGTATTACAAAGTTCTGAGGAGACTAATTCCTTAACAATGCTGACTAGGTATATGTCTTCATGAAGGTGGCTGAACATGAAAACTGCAGTGTAGAGGAAGAATACTTACATAGTTAAAGTGTAAAAAATTGTCTAGATGATACTGGAGAGGAACAAAGTACCTAAACTGAAATCAGTTTTAGCTTTCAAAAACTTAATTTTTATTCACCCTTGCTCTTAAATGTTGACAGTAACTATTGTCAGACTTGAAAATATTTGGCTGGCTCACTACTGAGTAGGAGCAGTGCCTGTAGACAGGGCTTTGGCCAGTAAAGATGGAAAGCAACTTTTGTGGTTAGAAACATTAGCATTTTAATTACAAAAGAGAAACAGGGTAACATGCTTCTAGTGTTCTAATACAGAGATTCAGACTTTGCATTTTGTATTAAGGCGGAGAGAATTTCCTGAAATGATTCTGCCAAAGTCCTGACTCCTTTAAAATTTGTTAAGGCTCCAGAAAATGCAGCAGAAATATATAGGTTTCTTGGCATTGGTGTTAATTTTCTTAGTCTTTTTGTTGCAATTTTAAAGGTCTTTTAAACTTTTATGTAAAAATAAAACTATGCACCAGGGGACAGGAACAGTGTTCCAGTTGCCGGATCTTCTTCCAGGTTCCTTGGCACTGAGAGTTGCCAATTGCTTCCCAGTGTAAGATTTTATCTCTGAAATGAGACAATAAATATGAAATTAGAAGAGTAAAAGCTATGTATTTAGTATTACTGGATTGTGTTGTATAAAATGTCAGAAGATTGGATTTGTTTAATCATATAAGACTTTATTAAACACATCCAGCTCTTAAAATTCTTTCTGGAGCAGACATTATATTCCTAAGTGGAATATCCAGCATGGTGCGTTGAGTAGCTAGTTGTACAGGTATAAGTAGTATGCATATTAATAAATGTATGGATCATATAAAAATCAGTTCTGAATAATAAATATCTACTTGCACAATTAATTTTCTAAAAAACAGGTATATATGCTTGAGGGGAGTACCAATCCACCACGGTTAAATCTGCAATCAGATTTTGGACAATGGCAGGAAATACCCTTTTTAAGTAAAAGTGCCCATAGCTGTAAAAAGTCCTCTTCCACTACACAAATTCCATCACCTTAACAATAGTGAATAAAGCATTAAGCTCTTATATTGAAATGACTTCCCAATTTTATCTAGGTTTTAAAAGCAATTTCTGTGTGAAGTGGAAGGATAAAACCTTCTGTGCTCTACAAACTGTTTAAGCTGTTCCAGTTTTTAGGTACAATAAATGCAGCTTTTAGTGAGATTTTGAGAAGTATGAACTCCTGTGCTGCATTTTGGTTTACCCGTGTGCGTTGTGGCCGTCGCCGGAGCAGCGCTGCGTGGCCGTGCTCATGGCCGGGGGCTGGCAGGCGACGCACACGGTGTGTCCCTCGCGCAGGTACTGCATCCAGCGCGCGTACGGCCGCGTCTCCAAAGCACACTGCTGGGAAAGGGATTCCGTCCTGAACTCCACACAGTATCTGCTCAGAGGGAAAAGAACCAAATTATGAGAGATAAAGCACGAGCTAAGTAGGCACTTTGAATGGACTTGCATATTGTAAGCGTGCTGTTTGTGAAATGGAAGTTAGACATCATCATTGCTAACAAATCTTTCTGACCCTAACCCAATCAGTGGATTCTTAAAAACGTTATGTAAACTATTTCTCATACTATACCCCAGTCCAGTATTTTATGTACAATCTCACTTTCTGGTAGTGTTCTGTATTAAATCATTTTGAAAACCAGATCTCAGTAACCCATATTTTTTCTTCTATGCTGCTGAAAGAAAATGGAAAAGAGACTAAGAGTATCAATGATTTTTATTGTTCTAGGAAAAATAGCACAGGACAAAGCATTATGAGCATTACAGACCCAGTAATAGCCTAATTTAAACTTCATTACCATCTCTACGGGTAACTAAACAAAATTTCTTACCGCTTGTGTCAAATAGTTTAAAAAAAAGGTCTCTTGACACCAATTCCATTCAGCCCACGTTGTTCAGAGACCTACATCTAATTTCTCAGACTTACACTTACATTCAGCTTTGTTTTAGCATTGTTTACTGCTGGCTTTCAAAAGCAGCTGTCATCAGATTTGCCATGATCCCAATGTCTAATTCAGGACAATTAGCAAGTAATAAAGAATATCTAGGATATGCAAATAAACTGCAGGAGAGAAAACCAGTACAAGCTACAGCTTATTGTTTAATTTTTGAAATTTTAATTGCATCTTTCTCTGTAGACAGCTGTTTTCTACTGAACAAGATGACCCACATACATATGATAAATAGATTACCCTGCTGCATCTTTGTCTGAAGGCCAGAGAGAAGAAGCTGCTCGTCTTTTTCTTTCTTTACCGTATTCAGAGGTAGTTATGAAAGCAGGGACTGAGGGAAAAAAACAGTTATGGTAAAACAGCAAGGCACAGCTGAGTCATATTTCAATTACTGTAACAGTGGGTGAATGACTTCAATGAAAAAGTGATAAAATGTTGGCAACATTGGACCTCAACCCCATTCCCTACAGCTAAGCTCTCTCCTTATTCAGAACAAAAATAATGCATGCCATCTAGACAGTGAGGAAATAGGATGTACTGGAATCCCACAAGGAGTACTGTTTCCAGTTTCATACTGAATTTGTGTTCTAATTTCGCACAGAGATAATTTGATACTTGCATCTAACTGAAGGAATGGACGCAGCTTAGTTGTTTGCTTAACAGAAAATTAAGAGCAGCCAGAGTAGGAAAACAAATTATTGAATAAAAAGTAGTATGACAGTAGAAAGTAAAGTTCTAAATTAAAATTTTAACCAGCTAACTGCAGATAGATGCTTGGTTTATTGCTGTTCATTGACATCAGTAAAATTTATGATGGCCGCAATGGACACAATATACAGCAGAGAGATGAAATGGAGAGTACCATGTTCATGGCCGCAGTCCTCCCCCTGGTAAGTCAGGTATTCCAGGCAACCAGCCTTCTCCTCCAGAGCTGGACATGGTTCCCCACCGTTTTTAGGTTCCTGTTGTACATAGCGCCTACGGATCCGCAGCCCAGGATGACATTGTTCTGCACAGCCACTCCAATGACTCCACTCCCCCACAACACAGGGAATAGCTGCAAAGCAGTATGAAAACATTATTAGTAGTCAAGAATTTTGTTTTATCCTAATTGCTTTCAAAAGCTTGAGATAATAAGATCATATTGAGGGGCTTTTTGTTTGGTTTGGGTTGGTTTTTTTTTTTACCTTTTTTTCTAATTTTATTTATATCGGTTTGAATGCTCTTCCAGGATTTTGCATACTCAAATTGAAAATTCAAACCTGCCTGCAATGCTTGGCTCTCTATTCCATCCCTTGTCCACAAAGAAAGAGCCCCTCATCAAAACCTTTCTCTACAGCTGCGGGGTTCTTCTGTACCCTCTTCTGAAGCATAAAGCATTAGCCTCAAAGGAGACCAGCTCATGGATTATCTACACCAGACTGGTCTGACCTTCCTTGGCAGTTCCTACATCACTAGATTTTGTTTAAAGGCTGGAACATTAACCAGTAGCACATTTGATTCCCTTCAGATCTATTTCTAGTTCCTTTTTCTTCAACACTGAACTGTATTCAGTGCCACAATTTTGTTCTCCTGTTTTAACACAGGTCCTGCTCATTTTCAACTACAGAACATTGGATATTTGAATTTCAGTTCTCATGGATCACAAACTTCCTCTGAATTAGTCAAAAATTCTGGGGAAAGTACCATTATTTTTAAAGTAAACTTTGAATCATGAGAAACTGCATTTCCCTCAGGCAGGGAAGAAAAGGTTTTGCAGTGTCATTCCCAGAATACAAAAACAGGTGATAGATACATTACTCCTGAATGAGAAGCTACACAACACAGAAGTCTTCACTTTATTTTTCCATTAAACCAATATGCAGCTGTAAAAAACACACAGCCATTTTACATCTCCATGAAACTGCTTTTCTCAGACTCATCTCCAGGAACACCAAGTCCCTGTTTTCGAAAACTATATAACCTAAAAATTTTCCCTTTCCTTAGCAGTTAGAATGAAAAGCTTCATTGCAGGCTGAGTCCTCAGGGGTTGGATTAAGATGATCTCTGGATGCTCACTGGTGGAACAAACAACCCGTCTACCTGGGAGCTTCAAATCTGCACAGCCATGGCAGGAGAAGCATGAAAGAGCAGATAAGAAAAATGCCTCACACATGGGCATCCATCAAGTGGAAGAATTCTCTGAGGATAAGCAATGATTTCCCTACACAGGTCATACTTAATTTGTGCCCTACAAGGACATTTAATCTGACTGGTGAGGCATTCCCAGTAGCCTTCTTTCCTGGAGGCCACCCAGTAGGTGCTCCAGGTTAGAGAATGGTACAAAATACACATTATCATCTTAAATGGGCTACCTTAAGTGGGCTACCTTAAACTGGTTCTGGATTGTTTTGGGTCATGCTTCTCATTATCTAGTGAAATAAAACTTTTCATTTCCCAGGTGTACTATTTCTCATTAGCTTGTAATGGAACATATCACATGCTTTCAATTTTTTTTCTGCATTTCCGGATTACAATTTAAATCCCCAAGAAGCTTTACAGCTTAACCCCTAGTTACATCCTAGTATCAGTGTTGAAGGAAAGTGATGGGACCAAACTAATCTTTCAGGAAAATATTTTATGCCCTCTGGGATTCGGCCAGTACAAGAAATTGGGAAGAGAGAATAGAATGTGATAACCTCCTTGGGGTTTGTGACTCTTCTCATAAAACATAGAAATTGCAGTGTTTGCTCTGTCATTACATCTCTAATTTCTTGGACTACTACCAATATAATAAAGCAGATAAAACCTCTGAAAGAGGCTACTTGGCAGACGTCCTTATCACTTCACCAAAATTCCCTTCCTCCATTCTCACTGTGCACCAGCTGTTCTGACCAAACTCGCTCACTTTGATATGCACTTACTCAGTGCCCTGACAGCACCAGGTGCATTGTGGCTGAGGATGCTGCATCCCACGCCCGAAGGAATTCCACTGAAACAGAACCACAGGGTTGCCCGAGTATTGGGCCACCTGCTCAACACTCAGGCAGTGTTGCCACTGCCCATCCTCCTCAACAATTAGTATCCTCTGGTTTTTTCTTCTTGTTACTGAAAAACACTTTCCCGGACAGCTCCTGAATATGATTTGTAGAACAGTGCTGGGAAATTGCAGAAAAAGCCCCCTTTGCCACATGCAGACACCTGACACTGCACCACCAGGCACTGCCCTCAGACACATCTAAGTACCCCAAAGTACATGACACAACCCCTGTGGCTGTAAAGGCACCACATTGACATGTTCAGTACAGCCCTCAGACTGTTTGTTCCAAGAATGGTGAACTAGAAAAGAAAACCCGGCATAGTTAAAATGTCTTAGAGCCCACCATGGGATAGCCGGGACAAGTGCTAAATGCAGTATGGACCTCACAGTCTTTGCCACCTGGCTGCAGGGTCCAAACACAGTCCTTGACTCTGCTAGATTTTATGGCACAAGCACAGACTTCAATGCCTGATCACAAATCTTAGTTCTACCCATGTGCCCTAAGGACAGTAAGTGTCTATCTAGCCTATTTCCTTATCTATTGATTCTCTTCCAAGCTGGCGGTATGAATGACCTGCATAAATAAAAATTTCCACAGAACTTTAATCCCATATTACCACCTTGATATGCAGATAACACCAAGTCTAACATCAAATTTTCCATGAAGAAACAAAGGAACTGAGTAAGTGCATAACAAATAAAGCAATGACTTCATGTCTTACTGGAATCAAACCAAGCTGATTGGTCATCTGCAGAAATACATGGTAATTTTATGGTTATCAAGATTTAGAATAAGAAGGATGAATTGCCCTAGTTATGTGGAAAAATAAGAATATTGGGTTGCTAGAATGGAATTTAGGCAGTGAGATAATAATGTCGCTCTTGCAGTCAGTACCCAAAAACTATTAAGGGACAGTAGATCAATTTTGTGCCTTGTTGGAAAGATGTCAAATTCCTCAGCATAACAGAGACTGGATCCATGAGCTGACATAAAAGGAATGGTGCCATCTCCTGACACACAAAAAGAAGTATCAAGGACCCATAGCTATGGTATACCCATCTTTATGGATCTCTCTCTATATTGCCATTTGCTCAGCTTATTTAACACAGTGATGTCAAATGATGATTCATGGAAACAATGAGGAGGATGCAAGTCAAAGGAAACTGAAGAAGGGATTTGTTCTCGGGTATCTACCAAAATGTGGAAGCTAATGCAACACTTGAAATTTCAATATAAACCACAGAAAAATTACACTGCTGTCTTATGAAAGACAGCTCAGTAGCCAAATCTTTGGTTTTGTCTTCTACTTGCAGCACTAAGAAACACAGATCCTTATTTCTGAGTGAAATTCCATTTAATTTTTTTCTCATCTCTGGAAAAAGAAAAACAGAGGATTGTAGTATGTTCATTGTACAACATATATTGTAATATGTAAGGATCTCTAGATTTTCTCAGAGTAACCACTTTGATTCAAATGGTGAGCTGATTCCTTTCTCAGGCTTTCTCACTGGACAGGAGTTCCTATTTAAAATACTATGTACAACAATATTTTTTTCTTCAAAAATATTCTTCATTTATTCAAAAATATTCTTCAGTGTTAGAACTATAAGTAAAAGTTTATTTAAAAATTCTTGAACTTGGGTTCAGCAGTCCATGAACTTCTGCCGAGC